TATGAAGTCGAAATCGTACAACTGTCCGATTTGACGAATGTAATTTATCATCAAACTTCGACTTTTGCCTGTTAAATTCGCCCTAAAATTGAGAGAATTGTTCACTGGAATGACTATACACTAACTTACAGAAGTTCTGCAAATTTTTCCGCCTTCCGTTTGCTGATTTTGTTTATACTGCAAACTGAGATTCCCGGAAATGGGACGTCGGTTACGGGAAACGTGGAATCGTCTAAACCGGTTATGGTGGGGTTGTTTAGAAATTCGTTGTACAACGTAACGACGATCACAAGAGTGCAGATTGATAGCGTTATATAAAGACTTCGCTGAAATGATACCTGGAAACAGCTTTGACTGCTAGGTAGAGGGGTTTGATTTTCAACATTTTCCATTTTTTGTGGATTCTGTTTTAGCGTTCTTTTTGTTGTGACGTTACTGGGAGCTTTGACAATCGTTAAATAAATGAGAAAATTAAGCGCGACGGAAGTGATTATATTTTTATTAATTCAAACTTCCTTTGTCGCTTTCATTCGATGTACAAGAGTTTATGTGTGCAAAAAATGCTTTTATTCGGTCGAAAGTTGTTCGTTTGTATTTTACCTTTTTTTTACGACTTTAAACATATTTAAGTTTTTTGTTGTGAAAACAAGACTGCGTATGTTAAGAAAAACATAGATTTCGGGCAGCAGAACTCGTATCCGCTTTCATTTCTTCGATAACTCCAATGGTTTTTCCACAATCGTGTTTTGAAATTTTCAAAAATATACAAAATACGCCCAATTTTTCACTAATTTTCAACAAAATTTTCGAAATTTTACTTAATACATTTTCTTGTAGATTTAGGGCCGCAGAAATCATATCCGCTTTCTTTTCTTCGATAACTCCAATGGTTCTTCCAGAATCGTCCTTTGAAATATTCAAAAATATGCAAAATACGCTCAATTTTCCACGAATTTTCAAAAAAATTTTCGAAATTTTAGTTAATACATTTTCTTGTAGATTTCGGGCCGCAGAAGTCATATCCGCTTTCATTTCTTCGATAACTCCAATGGTTTTTTCAGAATCGTCCTTTGAAATATTAAAAAAATTGCAAAATAACCCCTATTTTCCACCAATTTTCAACAAAATTTTCGAAATTTCACTTAATATATTCTCTTGTAGATTTCGGGCCGCAGAAGTCATATCCGCTTTCATTTCTTCGATAACTCCAATGGTTTTTCCATAATCATGTATTGAAATATACAAAAATATGCAAAATACGCCCAATTTTTCACCAATTTTCAACAAAATTTTCGAAATTTTACTTAATACATTTTCTTGTAGATTTCGGGCCGCAGAAGTCATATCCGCTTTCATTTCTTCGATAATTCCTATAGTTTTTCCAGAATCGTCCTTTGAAATATTCAAAAATACGCATAATTCGCCCAATTTTTGACCAATTTTCAACAAAATTTTCGAAATTTCACTTAATACATTTTCTTGTAGATTTTTTGCCGCAGAAGTCATTTCTTCGATAACTCCAATGGTTTTTCCATAATCATGTATTGAAATATATGTACAAAACTATGCAAAATACCCCAAAATTTTCCACCAATTTTCAACAAAATTTTCGAAATTTCACTTAATACATTTTCTTGTAGATTTCGAGCCGCAGAAGTCATATCCGCTTTCATTTCTTTGATAACTCCTATAGTTTTTCCAGAATCGTCCTTTGAAATATTCAAAAATACGCATAATTCGCCCAATTTTTGACCAATTTTCGACAAAATTTTCGAAATTTCATTAAATAAATATTCTTGTGATTTCGGGTCGCAGAAGTCATATCCGCTTCCATTTCTTCGATAACTCCAATGGTTTTTCCAGAATCGTCCTTTGAAATTTTCAAAAATATACAAAATACACCCAATTATCCACCAACTATCAACAAAATTTTCGAAATTTCACTTAATACATTTTCTTGTAGATTTCGGGCCGCAGAAGTCATATCTGCTTTCATTTCTTCGATAACTCCAATGGTTTTCCCAGAATCGTGTATTGAAATATACAAAAATATGCAAAATACCCCCAATTTTCCACCAATTTTCAACAAAATTTTCGAAATTTCACTTAATACATTTTCTTGTAGATTTCGGGCCGCAGAAGTCATATCCGCTTTCATTTCATCGATAACTCCAATGGTTCTTCCAGAATCGTTCTTTGAAATATTCAAAAATATGCAAAATCCGCCCAATTTTCAACAAAATTTTCGAAATTTCACTAAATACATTTTCTTGTAGATTTCGGACCGTAGAAGTCATATCCGTTTTCATTTCTTCGATAACTCGAATGGTTTATACAGAATCGTCCTTTAAAATGTTCAAAAATATGCAAAATGCGCCCAATTTTCGACCAATTTTCAACAAAATTTTCGAAATTTCACTATATATTTTCTTGTAGATTTCGGGCCGCAGAAGTCATATCCGCTTTCATTTCTTCGATAATTCCAATGATTTTTCCAGAATCGTGTTTTGAAATATTCAAAAATATACAAAATACGCCCAATTTTCCACCAATTTTCAACAAAATTTTCGAAATTTTACTTAATACATTTTCTTGTAGATTTAGGGCCGCAGAAATCATATCCGCTTTCATTTCTTCGATAATTCCAATGATTTTTCCAGAATCGTGTATTGAAATATACAAAACTATGCAAAATACCCCAAAATTTTCCACCAATTTTCAACAAAATTTTCGAAATTTCACTTAATACATTTTCTTGTAGATTTCGAGCCGCAGAAGTCATATCCGCTTTCATTTCTTCGATAACTCCTATAGTTTTTCCAGAATCGTCCTTTGAAATATTCAAAAATACGCATAATTCGCCCAATTTTTGACCAATTTTCGACAAAATTTTCGAAATTTCATTAAATAAATATTCTTGTGATTTCGGGTCGCAGAAGTCATATCCGCTTCCATTTCTTCGATAACTCCAATGGTTTTTCCAGAATCGTCCTTTGAAATTTTCAAAAATATACAAAATACACCCAATTATCCACCAACTTTCAACAAAATTTTCGAAATTTCACTTAATACATTTTCTTGTAGATTTCGGGCGGTAGAAGTCATATCTGCTTTCATTTCTTCGATAACTCCAATGGTTTTTCCAGAATCGTGTTTAGAAATATACAAAAATATGCAAAATTCGCCCAATTTTCCACCAATTTTCAACAAAATTTTCGAAATTTCACCTAATACATTTTCTTGTAGATTTCGGGTCGCAGAAGTCATATCCGCTTTCATTTCTTCGATAACTCCAATGGTTTTTCCAGAATCGAGTATTGAAATATACAAAAACATGCAAAATACGCCCAATTTTCCACCAATTTTCAACAAAATTTTCGAAATTTTACTTAATACATTTTCTTGTAGATTTCGGGCCGCAGAAGTCATATTCGCTTTCATTTCTTCGATAACTCCAATGGTTTTTCCAGAATTCACGATAAAAATTGACTTTTTTTATTTTATAAAAAAACAATAAAAACTTCAACGGCAAAATTGACCTGTTCGCTCAAAAACATGATAAAGTACCTTAAAATAGACGAAAAAGCAAGTAATAAACCCTTAAAGATATGAAAAAAGAAAATGTGGGATGAAACGTTTGCCAAAATCTTAGCAAGTGTTAGCCCCGTCCATCCGCCCCTATTTTCTCAGAAGATATGCCATTTGCCAAAAAAGACTTATATTAGCAAGTACTACCCCCTGAGAAAAAAAAAGGGTGGGTGAAAAAGCAGACAATTGAAAAATCGAAACATCGAAAAACTGGAAAATCTGACAATTGAGAATTCGAAAAATTGAAAATTGAAAAATTGAGAAATTGTAAATCGGAAATTGAATAATAGACAATCTGAAAAACCCCAAAAACTGAAATTTCGAATAATCGAAAAATGAAAAATCCAAAAATCTAAAATTTAAACACCGAAAAACGAAAAATCGAAAATTGGAAGAACTGAAAAATCTCAAAATGTATAAAAAAACAGAAATTAAAAAATTGAAGAAATGAAATGAAGAATCGAAAAACTGATTGTTTATAAAAGTCAAATTTAAAAAACTTATAAAATCGAAATATCTAAAAATCGTAAAATTGAAGAGAAGAAAAATTGAAAAATTGGGAAATTGTAAAATCGAAAAATTGAAAAATGAAACAAAAACTGAAGAATGGAAAAACTGAAAAATCTGAAAATGTATCCAAGAACTCAGAAATTAAAAAATTGAAAAATTGAAAAATCGAAAAGTCAAAAAAGTGAAGTCGAAAAGTCAAAACCTTAAAAAATTGAAAAATTAAATAATCATAAACCTAAAAAATTGCAAAATTAAAGAATTGAAATGAAAATTCGAAAAACTCAGACTTTATAAAAGTCAAATTTGAAAAATCGAAACATCGAAATATTTAAAAATCGTAAAATTGAAGAGGAGAAAAATTAGAAAAACGTAAAATTGAAACAACGAAAAATTGAAAAATGAATAAACTAATGAAATTATGGTCGAAACCGGTTAGGATGTGTATGAGATCACGGAACATGGCTTATAGATCAAATCGTTTCCGAACGCTTAGAGTCGACATTGGCTTGAGTGCGCTCTGGTCTATAGATCAAACAAGTTCTCACGCAACGATCTACATTGAACTTTAGGCTACTGTTTATTTTACCACAGAACAGAGAATCATGGACTCATCATCGGTATGAGTTTAGTATCCATAATAGAATTTAGTGTATTCTCCTTCCAAGTCCTACGAAGAAAAACCCGCAGCTTAGTTCGCACCAACAACACAAATAAAAGGAAATTTGAATTGATAACAACACTATTAATTTCCCGTCGCACTAACGATTTTCACAGTTTGTATTACTAACCCTGTCACAATAAAACGAACATTGAACCGACCCCGCTCATTTCACCTAATGGAAACCCACCACTTAATATTTCTACGCTGTATTTACATAACGCTGTCACTCTTCACGATTCTAATGGTGGTAACTTTATACAACGACTTCCTCAACAACCCCACAGTGACCAGCCTCGAAGACGCCTCCTTCCCCGTAACCCGAGTCCCCTTTCCCGGAATTTCAGTCTGCAGCGTCAACAAAATCAGCAAACGGAAAGCCCAAGACTTAGCGACACACCTGTAACTTAATTTTTTGTGTAAAATCAATCCGAAATTGTTTATTTTAGAGCGACCATCAGCAACAAAAATCAAAGCTTGATTCTAAGGTACGTGCGTTTTATCGGGCAGTTGCACGATTTTGACGGCGCGCGGTCAAAAATTAGGGAACTCGTGGAGTTCCAAACGATTTTGAAACGTTCGGGTTTGAAATTGATTGATGTGATTAAAGATGTAAGTTATTTGTGAGTACCACCACTGCACTGGGTTAATTTTAAGTTGCAGCTGGCCATTCCTTGCGACGAATTGTTAGTGAGTTGTGTGTGGCAAACACGGGATGTCAAGTGTTCTGAAATTTTTCAGATGAAGTTGACTCAAAGTGGGTTCTGTTGTGTTTTTAATAATTATAATAATTCTTCGTTTTTTGGGGCGGAGGCTGGGTTTGATCGTGGTCTGCAAATCGGGGTGCGGAATCAACTAGAGGACTATTTCTACTCGACGCTGTCGTCGACCGGTGTAGTTGTACTTTTGAACTAGTTTGATTTAATATTTATCTAGAGATGGTTGTATTGTAGGTACAAATTTTCCACTCTGACGACTATCCTGATAAATCTAGTGGCAACGTGAACGACATTTTGATAGGAAATAGTTCCGAAAGCTTCATCGATATACAACCCACGACGTACGAAGCGGTGGTAGATGTGGAAGATTATCCTGTGGAACGAAGAGGTTGTTTGTTCGATAAAGAAAGTCCCTCGATTTTTAGTAGCGTCTATTCCCAAAGCAACTGTATCATAGGCTGTCGAATTGAAAGTGCTCTAGCTCTCTGTCGATGTATACCATTCCAACTACCACTATCTAACGACAATATAGTTTGCACAATCGAAGATATTCCATGTCTGAATAGATTTAGAAGTACGACAAAACTGACAATATTGATAAAAAAGATGAATCTTGTGTTGTAGATAAGTGGCTTACGTTGTCACCTAATGAAGTTGTATGGGAACATCTGCCAAGAGAACAACACGAAGCGCTTATTTGTTCCAAAAAATGTTACCCTAAGTGTAGTGGAACGTTTTACGACGTCCGTGTTAATTCGTTTCCCATTCTTAAGTACGTCTAAAGTAGCTGAAATAATCGCACCATTATAAAACTGTTGTAGTAAATCTATAACCAAAAATCACTTGACTGTTGCATACATATACTACGGACGTCGCGTCTCCAATTTTTATCAAACCGACGTATTTTACTACTGGTTTGAAATATTAAGTACTGACAAACACTTAATAGTCACAGTTTTATCACTTTTTTTTAGGTAATTTTGGTGGTCTCTTTGGAATTCTCTTAGGCGTGAGTGTTATATCACTAATCGAAACCGTCACCTACATTTTCCAAAAATTATTAATCATCGCCAGATTTAAGTTCATTCACTCCAATTAATAATGAACATTGTAAAGGAAGTTTGAATTAATAAAAATATGTTCATTTCCCGTCGCACCGATGTTTCAATTTACTCAACGATTTCCTGACCTCGTAGCAACACCGATGGAAATTTCCGAAAATCCCGTAGCAACTACCCGAGATGGGTGTTTCCAACTACTCTCTCGACGCTCCATGTACATAACGCTATCAGTTTTCACAATCGTGATGGTCCTTACGCTATATAACGATTTTCTAAACAACCCCACTCTAACCAGCTTAAAAGATTCATCCTTTCCTGTAACGAAAGTCCCGTTTCCTGGAATTTCGGTTTGTAGCGTCAACAAAATCAGCAAGTGGAAGGCGGAGAACTTCGCGGAAAATTTGTATATATATATATTATAATCAAAAACCTGCAAATCGAAACAGTCACAAGTCAAGAAATGGGAAAATCAAAATATCGGTTAATTAAAAAATCGAAAAATTGAGACTTTAGAAAAGTCAAAAATTGAAAAATTGAAAAATCGAAATATTTAAAAATCGTAAAATTGAGGAGAAAAATTGAAAAAACGCAAAACTAAAACATCGGAAAATTGAGAATTCGAAAAATTAAAAAATTGGGAAATTGAAAAATCGAAAAATTGGGAAATTGTAAAATCACAAAATTGAAAAATGAAATAAAAACTGAAGAACGAAAAACTGAAAAATCTCAAAACTGAAATATGTATCCAAACATTGAGAACTTAAAAAATTGAAAAATTGAGAAATCAAAAGTCAAAAAGTGAAGTCGAAAAGTCAAAACCTCAAAAAATTGAAAAATTGAAAAATTCAAAATTTTAAAAAACGAAAAACTGAAAAAAATTACATCTAAAACCGGGAAGTTGAAAAACCAAAAGATTAAGAAATCGAAACATTTGAAAAATTCGATCACATGAAAAATTTAAATATCGAAGAACTGAAATGAAAAACCGAGAAATTGAAAAATCCAAAATCAAAAAATTGAAAAATCGAAAAAGCAAAAAAATCGACACCGAAAAATCCAGAAGTCAAAAATCGAAAAGTTGAAGTATCGAAAAACAGAAAAACGAAAGAAAAACTGAAGAATGGAAAAACTGAAAAATCCCAAACCTGAAACATCCAAAAACTGAGAATCTAAAAACTGAAAAATTGAGAAATCGAAACATCAAAAAAGTGAATATGAAAAATCGAAACCATAAAAGATTGAATAATTGAAAAATCAAGAACCTGAAAAATCGAAGAATTGAAGAACTGGAAAATCGAAACAGTCTCAAGTCAAGAAATAGGAAAATCAAAACATCGATTAATTGAAAAATCGGAAAATTGAGAATTTAGAAAAGTCAAAAATTTAAAAATTGAAATATTTAAAAATCCTAAATTGAAGAAAAAAAAATTGCAAAACTGAGAAACCGAAGAGGGCAAAACTAAAAATCGCAAAGTTATAAATTGAAAAACTAAAAACTAATAAATCGAGAAACTGAACAATCAAAATGTAGAAACATCCAAATCTCGATTAATCGGGAAATCAAAACATTGAAAAATAGAAAAATTAAAAAAATTGAAAAATCAAGAAAATTTGAAAAAACGAAAAATTGAAAAAAAGAAAATCTAAAACTGGGAAGTCGAAAACTCAAAAGATTAAAATTTCGAAACATTTGAAGAATTAAAAACATGAAAAATTGAAAGAATGAAGAACTGAAATGAAAAATCGAGAAATCGAAAAACCTAAAATTTTAAAAATTAAAAAATTAAAATATCAAAAGATTGAAAAATCTAAAATTTAAAAATCGAAACATTGAAAAATCGAAAAAGTACGAAAATCGACACATCGAAAAATCCAGAAATCAAAAATCGAAAAGTAGATGAATGAAGTTGTATGGGAACATCTGCCAAGAGAACAACACGAAGCGCTTATTTGTTCCAGAAAATGTTATCCTAAATGTAGTGGAACGTTTTACGATGTTCGTGTTAATTCGTTTCCCATTCTTAAGTACGTCTAAAGTAGCTGAAATAATCGCACCACTATAAAACTGTTGTAATAAATCTATAACCAAAAACCACTTGACTGTTGCATACATATACTACGGACGTCGCGTCTCCAATTTTTATCAAACCGACGTATTTTACTACTGGTTTGAAATATTAAGTAGCGATAAAACACTTATAGTCAATTTTGATCACTTTTTTAATTTTTAGGTAATTTTGGTGGTCTCTTTGGAATCCTCTTAGGCGTCAGTGTTATATCACTAATCGAGACCGTCATCTACATTTTCCAAAAATTACTTAACACCGCCACAGAATATTATCGACATAAAAATAATTAATAAACTTACTTAACGAAAAACAAGTTCCTAGACTTTCAAAGTCACATTTAAGTTCATTCACTCTACTTAATAATGAACATTATAAAGGAAGTTTGAATTAATAAAAATATGCTCATTTCCCGTCGCACTTGATGTTTCAATAACGATTTCCAGAGGTCGTGAAAATATCACTAAAACAGCATGGAAAATCCAGAAAATCCCGTAGTGACTGGATGTTTCCACGTCCTATTTCGACGCTCCATGTACATAACGCTATCAATTATGACGATTTTGGTGGTCCTTACGTTATACAACGATTTCCTAAACAACCCCACTCTAACCAGCCTTGACGATTCCACGTTTCCGGTAACTAACGTCCCCTTCCCTGGAATTTCAGTCTGTAGTTTAAACAAAATCAGCAAACGGAAAGCGGAAAAGTTCGCGGAACGTTTGTAATTTTTTTAATAATATTTAGAATGATCACTCATTCTCATTTTTAATACTGCAGGGTGGAGCTAACTGGGAAAAATCGAACTGTGATGATGAATTACGTTCGTTTCATCGGGCAGCTGTATGATTTTGACTTCATACCGTCAACGGTTGACGATCTTTTAGAGTTTCAAAAAATTTTAAATAACTCTGGGTTTAAGTTAACTGATGTGATTAAAGAAGTAAATTTTGGTTAGAGTAATGGCACCAGATTAAAACTAAGTTGCAGCTGGCCATAAACTGCGACGAATTATTGGAGTCGTGTATGTGGCAAAGAGTGGACGTGAAGTGTTCTGAAATATTTCAAATGAAACTGACTCACGATGGTTACTGTTGTGTTTTCACTAACAACAATAGTTTTCACACGAAAAAGCCAGATAAAGCGGTTTTTACAACGGAAGCCGGCATTAATCACGGTCTCCAGATTGTAGTCAGAAACCAACTAGACGACTACTTTTATTCCATAATATCTTCTATTGGTATAACAGTTGAGTCTGTCAAAAAGTAGTACGACTATTTCAGTTATACTTAATTTTTTAGGTACAGATTTTTGATTCGTATGACTATCCAGACAAACCCAGCGGCAACATGAAGGAAATTTTAATAGAAAACGGCTCTGAAAGCTTCATCGAAATTAACCCCACCACGTATGAAGCGGTGGCAGACGTTAGAGACTACCCTGTGGAAAAAAGGGGGTGTATTTTCAGAAGAGAGAGTCCGACGATATTTGGCAGCCTGTATTCACTAAGTAACTGCATCGTCGGCTGCAGAATCGAAAGTGCTTTAGCTCTTTGTCAATGTATACCATTCAAGCTCCCCCTTTCCAATGAAAGTACCGTGTGTACCATAGAAGATATTCCATGTGTGCATAGATACAGAGGTACAAACAACTTTACTACTGCTGATAATAATTTTTTTTTAATAGACAAATGGTTCACCATGGCACCTGATGAAGACGTACAAGAACATCTTCCCAGAGAACAACACGACGCACTTAGATGTTCCAGAAAGTGCTATCCGAAATGCAGCGGAACATTTTACGACGTTCAAATTAATTCATTTCCACTTTTCAAGTGAGTGCGTTTGTACGTTTTTAATTAATTAAAAACATCCACGTTTCAGCAAAACACTAGTAAAAAATCAGTTAAGCGTTGCATATATATACTATGGAAGCCGTTTTTCTAATTTTTATCGAACAGACGTATTCTATTATTGGTTTGAAATATTAAGTATTTGTGCGACAACAGTTCTTCGCGTTTTGACTCACGTGTTTTAGGTAACTTTGGAGGTCTGTTTGGGCTTCTAATGGGGTTCAGTGTTATATCAGCAATGGAAACGGCTATTTACATTGCGCGAAGAATTATAAAACATTACCGTAGAATTTTGTGGTCACAAAAATATTAATAATAATAAAGTATGCTTTTATTTTTATTTCAAACATTGTTTAATGTATTTACCTCCAAACCACGATAAAACCATCTGAAAATGTATGGAATTTTCAATGTCAGATTGTGCTACTTTTTTTGAGCCACCTGTGTAAGCAAATTTAAAAAAATATGAATAGATTGATAAATCACAAGTAAAAACTCATATTTTGCACATTTCGGGTAGAATTAGAAATTTAACTAGTTACTATGAAAATTTGCAATTTGACACCTTTACATTTCACAAGTTTTTACAAGATTAATAGCGGCAAAATCAGTTTTATCTTAACAAATACTAGGCCCGCCCACCCGCCCCCTATTTTCCCAAAGGATATATGATTTGGCGAAATAAATCTTATCTTAGCAAGTACTATAACCGCCCACCCACCCTTTACTTTCTTACATTTCCCAAAATCAGTCTTATCTTACCAAAGTACTAGTCCGCCCACCCGTCCCCTATTTTCTCAGAGGATATGTCATTTGATAAAATAAGACTTATGTTAGCAAACTCGAACGTTTCAAAATCGTTTGGAACTCCACGAGTTCCCTAATTTTTGACCGCGCGGCGTCAAAATCGTGCAACTGTCCGATAAAGCCCACGTACCTTAAAATCAAGCTTTGATTTTTGTTGCTGATGGTCGCTCTAAAATAAACAATTTCGGATTGGTTTTACACAAAAAATTAAGTTACAGGTGTGTCGCTAAGTCTTGGGCTTTCCGTTTGCTGATTTTGTTGACGCTGCAGACTGAAATTCCGGGAAAGGGGACTCGGGTTACGGGGAAGGAGGCGTCTTCGAGACTGGTCACTGTGGGGTTGTTGAGGAAGTCGTTGTATAAAGTTACCATCATTAAAATCGTGAAGAGGGACAGCGCTATGTAAATACAGCGGAGAAATATTAAGTGGTGGGTTTCCATTAGGTGAAATGTTCGTTTTATTGTGACAGGGTTAGTAATACAAACTGTGAAAATCGTTAGTGCGACGGAAATTAATAGTGTTGTTATGAGTTCAAATTTCCTTTTTGTGTTGTTAAGCGGTCGGTGCGAACCAATTAGCTGTGGGTTTTTCTTCGCAGGACTTGGAAGGAGAATACACTAAATTCTATTATGGATACTAAACTCATGCCGATGATGAGTCCAAAAGTTCCGCCAAAGTTGCCTGAAGCAAGTTAATAAGTGTGAAGAAGTTCGGGAAAATAAATACTTACTTAGGATTTCGAACCAATAGTAAACTACGTCTTGTTTGTACAACGCCGAAAATCGTTCTGAGTAGTAGATTTGGACGCTTGTTTGATTCTCTGCTCTGCGGAGAAATAAACAGTAGTCTAAAGTTCAATGTAGATCGTTGCGTGAGAACTTGTTTGATCTATAGACCAGAGCGCACTCAAGCCAATGTCGACTCTAAGCGTTCAGAGTCTATAAACGTGATGTCATACATATCCTAACCGGTTTCGACTATAATTTCAGTAGTTTATTCATTATTCAATGTTTCGACTTCTCAATTTTTCGATGTTTCAATTTTACGTTTTTCTAATTTTTCTCCTCTTCAATTTCACGTTTTTTAAATATTTCGATTTTTCATTTCAAATCTTCAATTTGTCAATTTTTCAGGTTTTTGATTTTTCAATTTTTCGATTTTTTGGGTTTTGACTTTTCGACTTCACTTTTTTGACTTTTTGATTTCTCAATTTTTCATTAATTTCTCAGTTTTTGGATACATTTTGAGATTTTTCAGTTATTCCATTCTTCAATTTTTATTTCATTTTTCAATTTTTCGCTTTTACAATTTCCCAATTTTTCAATTTTTTTTCTCTTCAATTTTAGGATTTTTAAATATTTCGATTTTATTAGTTTTTTAAATTTGACTTTTATAAAAAATCAGTTTTTCGATTTTTCATTTCAATTCTTCAATTTTTTAATTTCTCAGTTTTTTTATATATTTTGAGATTTTTCAGTTCTTCGATTTTTCAAGTTTTCAATTTTTCAAATTCTTGATTTTCAGATTCTCCAGTTTTTCATTGTTTCGATTTATCAAGTGTCCGATTTTCCAATTTTTCGATTTTCAAAATTTTGGAGTTTCACTTTCTCGAATTTTCGTTTATCGGTTTTTAAATTTGAGATTTGAATTTTTCATTTTTTCGATTTTTTGTTGTTTCTCAGTTTTTCGATTTTTCATTTCCTCAATTCTTCAATTTTTCAATTTTTTAGGTTTTTGATTTCTCAATTTTTCAATTTTTTAATTTCTCGGTTTTTGGATACATTTCATCTTCGCGATTTTTAAATTTTTCCATTCTTCAGTTTTTCTTTCATTTTTCAATTTTTCGAAATTTCATTTTTACAATTTCTCAATTTTTCAATTTTCAATTTTTCGAATTCTCAATTTTCCGATGTTTCAGTTTTACGTTTTTTCAATTTCTCTCCTCTTCAATTTTACGATCATTAAATGTTTTGATTTTTCAATGTTTCAATTTTTGACGTTTCTAATTTCTCAATTTTTCGATTTTTCAATTAATCGATCTTGATTTGATTTTCCCATTTTTTGACTTGCGATTGTTTCGATTTTTCAGTTCTTCAATTCTATAATTTTTCGACTTTTCAATTTTTCGTTTTTTTTTAAGATTTCGATTTTTCAACTTCACTTTTTTGATGTTTCGATTTCTCAATTTTTCAGATTCTCAATTTTTGGATATTTCAGTTTTGGCATTCTTCAATATTTCGATTTTTGGTTTCTGGATTTTTCGATGTGTCGATTTTTGCACTTTTTTTATTTTTCAATGTTTCGATTTTTAAATTTTTAGATTTTTCAATCTTTTGGTATTTTAATTTTTCATATTTTTCCGGTTTTATATTTTTCGATTTTCCAATTTTTTAACTTTTCGTTTTTTCGATTTTGGCTTATCGGTTTCTCAATTTATCCATCTTTTGGTTTCGATTTCTCAATATGCATTTCAATGATTCATTTTTGTTTTAACTTTTTGAATTCTCGATTTATCATTTTTTCATTTTTAACTTTTCGATTTTTCGATTTTCCAGTTTTTCGATGTTTCGATTTTTCAATTTTTCGATTTTTGAAATTTTGCAGTTTTAATTTCTCGATTTTTCGTTTTTCTGTTTTTAAATTTTAGATTTTTGAATGATTCATTTTTTCGATTTTTTGATGTTTCAATTTTTATAAACTCAGTTTTTCGATTTTTCATTTTTTCAATTCTTCAAATTTTCAATTTTTTAGGTTTTTGATTTTTCAGTTTTTCAATTTTTTAATTTCTTAGTTTTTGGATACATATTTCAGTTTCGAGATTTTTCAGTTTTTCCATTCTTTAGTCTTTCTTTTATTTTTCAATTTTTGAAATTTCAGTCTTGGGATTTTTCAGATTATCTATTATTGAATTTTCGATTTTACAATTTCTCAATTTTTCAATTTTCAATTTTTCGAATTCTCAATTTTTGATGTTTCAGTTTTACGTTTTTTCAATTTTTTATCCTCTACATTTTTACGATTTTTAAGTATTGCGATTTTTCAAATATTCAATTTTTGACTTTTCTAAATTCTCAATTTTTCTATTTTTTTTTGGCATTTTTCAATCTTTCGATTTTTTTTAAGGTTTCGATTTGTCGATTTCATTTCTTTGATGTTTCGATTTCTCAATTTTTGGATATTTCAGTTTTGGGATTTTTCAATATTTCGATTCATCGACTTTTCAATTTTTGATTTCTGAATTTTTCGATGCGTCGATTTTCGTACTTTTTCGATTTTTCAATGTTTCGATTTTTAAATTTTAGATTTTTCAATCTCTTGGTATTTTAATTTTTCAATTTTTAAAGTTTTAGATTTTTCGATTGCTTGATTTATCAATATTTTAATTTTTCATGTTTTTGAGTTTTTCAAATGTTTCGATTTCTTAATCTTTTGATTTTTCGACTTCCCAGTTTAGATTTTCTTTTTTTCAATTTTTCCATTTTAAAATTTTTCTATTTTTCAATGTTTTGTTTTCTCGATTTGTCGAGATTTGGATGTTTCGAAATTTTGACTGTTCAGTTTCTCGATGTATCAGTTTTTCAATTTTTAACTTTTCGATTTTCGCCTATTTCGGTTTCCCAATTTTTTGACTTTTCGACTTCTCGATTTCTCGATCTTTTGATTTTTCGATTTCTCAATTTTCCGATTTTTTACTTTTCGAATTTTCGGTTTTTAGATTTTCCAGTTCTTCAATTCTTCAATTTTTCGATTTTTCTATTTTTCATTTTTTTTAAGGTTCCGATTTTTTAACTTCACTTTTTGATGTTTCGATTTCTCAGTTTTTCAGATTCTCAAGTTTTGGATATTTCAATTCTGGGATTTTTCAGTTTTTCCATTCTTCAGGTTTTCTTTCATTTTTCGGTTTTTCGATGTGTCGATTTTTGTACTTTTTCAATTAATTGTACTTTTTCGATTTTTAAATTTTAGATTTTTGAAGCTGTTGGTATTTTAATTTTTCAATTTTTAGAATTTTAGATTTTTCGATTGCTCCATTTTTCATTTCAGTTCTTCAATATTTTGATTTTTCCACTTCCCAGTTTTAGATTTTCTTTTTTTCAAATTTTCGTTTTTTCAAATTTTCGATTTTTAAATTTTTGGGTTTTTCAATGTTTTGATTTCCCGATTTATCGAGATTTGGATGTTTCGATATTTTGATTGTTCAATTTCTCGATTTATCAGTTTTTCAATTTAAAACTTTTCGATTTTTTATTTTGGGCTTATTCGGTTTCTCAGTTTTCCATTTTTTTCGGTTTTTTTATTTTTCAGGTTTCAGATTTTTTGATTTTCCAATTTTTCAACTTTTAACTTTTCGTTTTTTCGATTCTGGCTTATCGGTTTCTCAATTTTTTGACTTCATGATATTTTGACTTTTCGATCTTTTCATCTTTCTCAATATTTCAATTATTCAATTTTATTTTTATTTTTTGATTTCTCGATTTATCGAGATTTGAATGTTTCGATTTTTTGATTGCTCAATTTCTTGATTTATAATTTTTTCAATTTTTAACTTGTCGATTTCTCGATCTTTTGATTTTTCGATTTCTCAGTTTTCCAATTTTTTACTCTTCGGATTTTCGGTTTTTCAATTTTCCAGTTTTTCGATGTTTCGAATTTTCAATTTTTCGATTTTTGAAATTTTGGAGTTTCAGTTTTTCGGTTTTTAAATTTTAGATTTTTGAATTTTTCATTTTTTCAGTTTTAGGATACATATTTCAGTTTCGAAATTTCAGTTTTGAGATTTTTCAGATTGTCTATTATTCAATTTTCGATTTTATAATTTTTCAATTTTCGATTTTTCGAATTCTCAATGTTACGTTTTTTCATTTTTTTTTCTCTTCAATTTTACGATTTTTAAATATTCTGATTTTTCAATTTTTCAATTTTTGACTTTTCAAAATTCCCAATTTTTCGATTTTTTGATTTTCCGATTTCTTGACGTGCGACTGTTTCGATTTTCCAGTTCTTCAAATCTTAAATTTTTTAGCTTTTTGATTTTTCAATTATTCGAAATTTTTTGAAGGTTTCGGTTTTTCGACTTCACTTTTTTGATGTTTGGGCTTCTCAATTTTTCAGTTTTCTGATTTTCAGTTTTTGGGTCTTTCAGTTTTGGGATTTTTCAGTTTTTCCATTCTTCAGTTTTTCTTTCATTTCTCAATTTTTCGAAATTTCAATTTTTCGAATTCTCAATTTTTCGATGTTTCAGTTTTACGTTTTTTCAATTTTTTATCCTCTACATTTTTACGATTTTTAAGTATTGCGATTTTTCAATTATTCAATTTTTGACTTTTCTAAATTCTCAATTTTTCTATTTTTTTTTGGCATTTTTCAATCTTTTGATTTTTTTTAAGGTTTCGATTTGTCAATTTCATTTCTTTGATGTTTCGATTTCTCAATTTTTGGATATTTCAGTTTTGGGATTTTTCAATATTTCGATTCATCGACTTCAATTTTTGATTTCTGAATTTTTCGATGTGTCGATTTTCGTACTTTTTCGATTTTTCAATGTTTCGATTTTTAAATTTTAGATTCTTCAATCTTTTGGTATTTTAATTTTTCATGTTTTTGAATTTTTCAAATGTTTCGATTTCTTAATCTTTTGGTTTTTCGACTTCCCAGTTTAGATCTTCTTTTTTTCAATTTTTCCATTTTAAAATTTTTCTATTTTTCAAAGTTTTGTTTTCTCGATTTGTCGAGATTTGGATGTTTCGATATTTTGACTGTTCAGTTTCTCGATGTATCAGTTTTTCAATTTAAAACTTTTCGATTTTTATTTTGGACCTATTCGGTTTCTCAGTTTTTCCATTTTTTTTATTTTTCCGCTTTTAATTTTTCGATTTTCAAATTTTTCAACTTCTGATTTTTCGTTTTTTCCATTTTGGCTTATCGGTTTTTCATTTTTTCGATTTTTCGATTTCACGATTTTTCCATTTCTCGATCGTTTGATCTTTCGATTTCTCAATATTTCAATTATTCAATTTTTTTTAAATTTTTTGATTTCTCGATTTATAAAGATTTGGATGTTTCGATGTTTTGATTGTCAATTTCTCGATTTATCATTTTTTCAATTTTTAACTTTTCGATTTTCGCCTATTTCGGTTTCCCAATTTTTTGACTTTTCGACTTCTCGATTTCTCGATCTTTTGATTTTTCGATTTCTCAATTTTCCGATTTTTTACTTTTCGGATTTTCGGTTTTTAGATTTTCCAGTTCTTCAATTCTTCAATTTTTCGATTTTTCTATTTTTCATTTTTTTTAAGGTTTCGATTTTTTAACTTCACTTTTTGATGTTTCGATTTCTCAGTTTTTCCATTCTTCAGGTTTTCTTTCATTTTTCGGTTTTTCGATGTGTCGATTTTTGTACTTTTTCGATTTTTCAATGTTTCGATTTTTAAATTTTAGATTTTTGAAGCTGTTGGTATTTTAATTTTTCAATTTTTAGAATTTTAGATTTTTCGATTGCTCCATTTTTCATTTCAGTTCTTCAGTATTCCAATTTTTCATGTTTTTGAATTTTTCAAATGTTTCGATTTTTTAATCTTTTGATTTTTCCACTTCCCAGTTTTAGATTTTCTTTTTTTCAAATTTTCGATTTTTAAATTTTTCGGTTTTTCAATGTTTTGATTTCCCGATTTATCGAGATTTGGATGTTTCGATATTTTGATTGTTCAATTTCTCGATTTATCAGTTTTTCAATTTAAAACTTTTCGATTTTTTATTTTGGGCCTATTCGGTTTCTCAGTTTTCCATTTTTTTCGGTTTTTTTATTTTTCAGGTTTCAGATTTCTTGATTTTCCAATTTTTCAACTTTTAACTTTTCGATTTTTCGATTTTGGCTTATCGGTTTCTCAATTTTTTGACTTCATGATATTTTGACTTTTCGATCTTTTCATCTTTCTCAATATTTCAATTATTCAATTTTATTTTTATTTTTTGATTTCTCGATTTATCGAGATTTGAATGTTTCGAATTTTTGATTGTTCAATTTCTTGATTTACCATTTTTTTCAATTTTTAACTTGTCGATTTCTCGATCTTTTGATTTTTCGATTTCTCAGTTTTCCAATTTTTTACTCTTCGGATTTTCGGTTTTTCAATTTTCTAGTTTTTCGATGTTTCGAATTTTCAATTTTTCGATTTTTGAAATTTTGGAGTTTCAGTTTTTCGGTTTTTAAATTTTAGATTTTTGAATTTTTCATTTTTTCAGTTTTAGGATACATATTTCAGTTTCGAAATTTCAGTTTTGGGATTTTTCAGATTGTCTATTATTCAATTTTCGATTTTATAATTTTTCAATTTTCGATTTTTCGAATTCTCGATTTTACGTTTTTTCATTTTTTTTTCTCTTCAATTTTACGATTTTTAAATATTCTGATTTTTCAATTTTTCAATTTTTGACTTTTCTAAATTCCCAATTTTTCGATTTTTTGATTTTCCCATTTCTTGACGTGCGACTGTTTCGATTTTCCAGTTCTTCAATTCTTAAATTTTTTAGCTTTTTGATTTTTCTATTATTCGAAATTTTTTTAAGGTTTCGGTTTTTCGACTTCACTTTTTTGATGTTTGGGATTCTCAATTTTTCAGTTTTCTGATTTTCAGTTTTTGGGTCTTTCAGTTTTGGGATTTTTCAGTTTTTCCATTCTTCAGTTTTTCTTTCATTTCTCAATTTTTCGAAATTTCAATTTTTCGAATTCTCAATTTTTCGATGTTTCAGTTTTACGTTTTTTCAATTTTTTATCCTCTACATTTTTACGATTTTTAAGTATTGCGATTTTTCAATTATTCAATTTTTGACTTTTCTAAATTCTCAATTTTTCTATTTTTTTTGGCATTTTTCAATCTTTTGATTTTTTTTAAGGTTTCGATTTGTCAATTTCATTTCTTTGATGTTTCGATTTCTCAATTTTTGGATATTTCAGTTTTGGGATTTTTCAATATTTCGATTCATCGACTTCAATTTTTGATTTCTGAATTTTTCGATGTGTCGATTTTCGTACTTTTTCGATTTTGCAATGTTTCGATTTTTAAATTTTAGATTCTTCAATCTTTTGGTATTTTAATTTTTCAATTTTTAAAGTTTTAGATTTTTAATTGCTTGATTTATCAATATTTTAATTTTTCATGTTTTTGAATTTTTCAAATGTTTCGATTTCTTAATCTTTTGGTTTTTCGACTTCCCAGTTTAGATCTTCTTTTTTTCAATTTTTCCATTTTAAAATTTTTCTATTTTTCAAAGTTTTGTTTTCTCGATTTGTCGAGATTTGGATGTTTCGATATTTTGACTGTTCAGTTTCTCGATGTATCAGTTTTTCAATTTAAAACTTTTCGATTTTTATTTTGGACCTATTCGGTTTCTCAGTTTTTCCATTTTTTTTATTTTTCCGCTTTTAATTTTTCGATTTTCAAATTTTTCAACTTCTGATTTTTCGTTTTTTCCATTTTGGCTTATCGGTTTTTCATTTTTTCGATTTTTCGATTTCACGATTTTTCCATTTCTCGATCGTTTGATCTTTCGATTTCTCAATATTTCAATTATTCAATTTTTTTTTTAATTTTATGATTTCTCGATTTATAAAGATTTGGATGTTTCGATGTTTTGATTGTCAATTTCTCGATTTATCATTTTTTCAATTTTTAACTTTTCGATTTTCGCCTATTTCGGTTTCCCAATTTTTTGACTTTTCGACTTCTCGATTTCTCGATCTTTTGATTTTTCGATTTCTCAATTTTCCGATTTTTTACTTTTCGGATTTTCGGTTTTTAGATTTTCCAGTTCTTCAATTCTTCAATTTTTCGATTTTTCTATTTTTCATTTTTTTTAAGGTTTCGATTTTTTAACTTCACTTTTTGATGTTTCGATTTCTCAGTTTTTCAGATTCTCAAGTTTTGGATATTTCAATTCTGGGATTTTTCAGTTTTTCCATTCTTCAGGTTTTCTTTCATTTTTCGGTTTTTCGATGTGTCGATTTTTGTACTTTTTCAATTAATTGTACTTTTTCGATTTTTAAATTTTAGATTTTTGAAGCTGTTGGTATTTTAATTTTTCAATTTTTAGAATTTTAGATTTTTCGATTGCTCCATTTTTCATTTCAGTTCTTCAATATTTTGATTTTTCCACTTCCCAGTTTTAGATTTTCTTATTTTCAAATTTTCGTTTTTTCAAATTTTCGATTTTTAAATTTTTCGGTTTTTCAATGTTTTGATTTCCCGAGATTTGGATGTTTCGATATTTTGATTGTTCAATTTCTCGATTTATCAGTTTTTCAATTTAAAACTTTTCGATTTTTTATTTTGGGCCTATTCGGTTTCTCAGTTTTCCATTTTTTTCGGTTTTTTTATTTTTCAGGTTTCAGATTTCTTGATTTTCCAATTTTTCAACTTTTAACTTTTCGATTTTTCGATTTTGGCTTATCGGTTTCTCAATTTTTTGACTTCATGATATTTTGACTTTTCGATCTTTTCATCTTTTTCAATATTTCAATTATTCAATTTTATTTTGATTTTTTGATTGTTCAATTTCTTGATTTATCATTTTTTTCAATTTTTAACTTGTCGATTTCTCGATCTTTTGATTTTTCGATTTCTCAGTTTTCCAATTTTTTACTCTTCGGATTTTCGGTTTTTCAATTTTCCAGTTTTTCGATGTTTCGAATTTTCAATTTTTCGATTTTTGAAATTTTGGAGTTTCAGTTTTTCGGTTTTTAAATTTTAGATTTTTGAATTTTTCATTTTTTCAGTTTTAGGATACATATTTCAGTTTCGAAATTTCAGTTTTGGGATTTTTCAGATTGTCTATGATTCAATTTTCGATTTTATAATTTTTCATTTTTCAATTTTTCGAATTCTCAGTTTTACGTTTTTTCATTTTTTTTTCTCTTCAATTTTACGATTTTTAAATATTCTGATTTTTAAATTTTTCAATTTTTGACTTTTCTAAATTCCCAATTTTTCGATTTTTTGATTTTCCCATTTCTTGACGTGCGACTGTTTCGATTTTCCAGTTCTTCAATTCTTAAATTTTTTAGCTTTTTGATTTTTCAATCATTCGAAATTTTTTTAAGGTTTCGGTTTTTCGACTTCACTTTTTTGCTGTTTGGGTTTCTCAATTTTTCAGTTTTCTGATTTTCAGTTTTTGGGTCTTTCAGTTTTGGGATTTTTCAGTTTTTCCATTCTTCAGTTTTTCTTTCATTTCTCAATTTTTCGAAATTTCAGTTGTGGGATTTTTCAGATTTTCGATTTTTCGATTTCTCAATTTTTCAATTTTTTTTTAGATTCTCGCGTCTGAACGCTTAGAGTCGACACTAGCTTGAGCGCGCTCTGGTCTGTAGATCAAACAAGTTGTCAAGTGACGAGATCTTAAGAAAATCTACCTCGACTTATGGATGGCCGCACTGTCCGAAATCACATCATACGTAGTACCACCACACGAAGGATAACAATTATTTGTACACCTCAAAGAGTCATGTTGTTCGCGTTGCAGAAACCCAGAAGTGTCATCCTCAGGATACATAGTGTTCCACTTACCTAAAACATTCCATCACCAAAAATCCACAACAACAATTTAAAAAACCACTTTTGTATCGATGTAAACATTGTAGATTGTTCAACGTGCATACATTTTCCGGAGTACTTAAAGGTACCATGAAAGGTACACACTGACACAGCGCTAAAGAACTGGCAACTCTGCAATCCACGTTGCAGTCACTCTGGGAATAAACCCCGTGGAACCCCGTCACTCGTTCTTCGTCAAAAAGACACCCCCTTTTGGATAAGGGATATTCGATTACGTCTCTAACCGTAAATAGTGTTGTCGGTTTTATTCTCACGAAAGTTTCAGTGTTTAGTCTTGCGACTACTTCGATTAAACTACCGCTGGGTTTGTCAGGGTAGTCGGTGGGCACGAATACTTGAACCTACGAGAGATTATTTAATTTGGCTTTTTTACAATATTATACTTAACTGTCACTCCGGCCGAACTCAAAGATGTGTAAAAATAGTCTTCGGGGTCGTTATTTATCTTCACGTATAAACCTCTGTCGATGCCGGGTTCTCCCGTAAGTGGTGCCGCTCCTGCTGGAACTTTGCTACAAGAAAATACTGTGTGTTCCCCTAGGTAATATTTTAACTCACTTGTGCTGCGGTGTGTTCTTTACGTAATTAAACGTACAACAGTATCCGTCGTAAGTTAGCCTCATTTTAAAAATACGGGAACAATTTTCCAAATTTCCGAGCCACTTGCATTTAATGAGGAAATCGTCGCACGTATAAGTAAGCTAGAAATATTTATCTTGAAGGCACAATTATTGGCAAAATTAAAGTATACCTTGTTCATGACGGTAATTGTATTTAGATGTACCGCGTCTAGGATTTTTTGTAATTTCGTAAGTTTAGTTTCGTCTTTGGTGTTATAGTCAAAGTCGTATAACTTTCCAAGTAGAGGTATTAAATTGAGTACTTCTGATGCGTTTACGTTTGAGACGTGTTCAGCTCTATTACACTATTATCAACACAAGGATGGTCGTTTTCGCTCATACTTACATGTTCTGTGCAAAAATTTGTGCGCGCTTTTTACTAATTTTGTTGATGTTGCAAATCGCCACTCCCGGAAACGGGACCTTGGAGACGGGGTGGGAGGTGCTTTCCAGTGTCGTTACGGTGGGATTTGTCAAAAACTCCCGCCAGAGATTGATAATCAAGCTCACGGTTAACATAATAAAAAATCCGTATACTAGGTACCAGATAACTCTAAGAATAATAATAATAATAAGTTAGAATGAAAAATCAAGCTCGTGCTATATCTACCTAATAGAAGTGTGCTTCTTTTCTTTCATGAAGACATAGTCACTGAGATCCGCCATCGTGAAAAGTGTTTATGCTTTAAAATGTCTACTAATTAATTATTCAGTGTTAGTGCGTGACCGGAAATTTAAAAAACGCGATCACTATTAATTTGATAATCGAGTGGAAAATTTTTTAACTATTATTTCTGAGCATAAAAGGAGGAGGGCTAACGCTAGCCCGGATCCAAATACTAGAAAAGCGGAGTAGCAGTCGATGAGTCCGACGCTGCCGAAGTTGCTTCCACCGGATTGACATTGCGGTTTCCGGGTATACACCTTCCGGACTTCTCGCTTCTGGATTCCGTATTCGTGCATGCGTTTGAACCTGCGAGTACAAAAGTGGGTTATTTTATTTGAAATGTTAATTAGCATTTACGAATATCGTAGTAAAAGTTATTTAAATTTTATAAAATAAGATACCCCTGCATTTTTTCATGTTTTAAGTAAAGTAGTCAAAATTTTCTGGAAAATGCAATGAGCCGTTCCTGACTTAATCAATAAAATAAATTGACACATTCATTATTTTTTTGCCAAAATAAGTCTTATCTTAGCAAGTACTAGCCCCGCCCACCCGCCCTCTGTTTTTTCAAAGGAAATGTCATCTACCAAAATCAGTCTTATCTTACCAAAGTTCTAGCCCCGCCCACCCACCCTCTATTTTCTCAGAGGATGTCATTTGATAAAATAAGACTTATGTTAGCAAGACTTGCTAAGATAAGTCTTAATTTGGCAGATGACATATCCTCTGAGAAAATAGAGGCGGGTGGGCGGGGCTACCACCTGCTCAGATAAGACCGATCTTGGCAGATGACATATCCTCTGAGAAAATAGAGGGCGGGTGGGCGGGTCTCGTATTTGTTAAGATAAAACTGATTTTGCCTCTATTAATCTTGTAAGAACTTGTGAAATTTAAAGATGTTAAATTGCATATTTCCATAGTAGCAAGTTAAATTCCTAAATCTGGCTGGATATTTAGTTTTTAACAATTCAGTCATTCATTTTTCTGAGACACCCTGTATGAGCAAATTTAAAAAATATTTGTGCAGTGATAAATCACAATTATCGACTCATCATACTTTGCACAATGCACATTTAAGATAGCGTTTTTTCGGAAAAAATTTGGGGTAGCGTGATCAAATATATTTTGATCAAAAATTTACCACGCCTATGATAACTTTAAATCATCTCCAAGATTTCAAAGCATTTGGTTTTGTAGTTCCTGATTAAATCAATAAAATAAATTCACGCATTCATTAATTTTTTTGAGTCACCCTATATACGCAAATCCAAAAAATTTGAATGGAATGATAAATTTAAGTGCAGACTCATATTTTCTACATTTTAGGTAGGATTTATTCGGCAAACTTTTGAGGTGACGTCATCAATTTTTTGGAGGGGACAAGTAAATATCTGCAAGATTTCAAAGCATTCGGTTTTGCAGATTCCAAATTAAACGTCAAAATGTTGTTTCCTAATTTTGATTTTTTTTTTTCAAAAATCTGGATGTTTCGACTCATTACTTTCGGAGATTATACGTCTAATAAAAATCCGGGACGGCAGACAGACCGACAGACGGAAACGGGAGATCTATTTCTTCGTCCTCTAGGGGTCATGATAGGTCGAGAAAATGCAAAGTAGAGAGTCGGCCGACGGACTCGATTACAATACAGTATAACCTCTATAATCCAACCCCACGATTATCCGAACATCCAGTAATCCGAACAGAGGCTAGTTGAAGTCGATATCTCTTTAATCCGAACAAAAACTCTGCAATCCGAACCGAACTTAAAAAAAAAACATGCACCTACTGGCAAAAATGATGTAAGATCTTTCTATACGTGTTGTATTGAATTTTTCGAAATTTTTAAAAATTGCGATAGTTCAATGCACTGAATTTTTTTCTATTTCTAATTCTGGAAAAAAGGTTAAAGTTATCGAACAAATGAGGCCGGAATGATTTCTGCGCCCCGAAATCTACAAGGAAAAGTATTTAGTTAAATTTGGAAAATCGTCGAAAATGGCTCGAAATTTGTTAGTACTTGTCAAATAACCTACCCTCTAAGAAAATAAAAGGCAGTTGGAAAATTACCTACTCTTCTAAGAAAAGGTACTAGCCCCGCTCACCCACCCTTTATTTTCTTTGAAGAGTGGCTCATCTGCCAAAATCAGTCTTATTTCAATAAGTACTAGCCCCGCCCACCCACCCTTGTTTTCTTAGTTGTTATGTCATCTGCAAAAATCATACTTGCGAAGATAAGAATGATTTTGCCAGAACACCTATTTTTTATTTTCGTAGAAGAGTAGGTCATTGGCCAAAATGAGTCTTATTTTGGCAAATACTAGCCCCGCCCACCCGCCCTTTGTTTTCTTAAGAGAGTGATCATTTGCCAAAATCAGTCTTATCGTAGTACCACTAGATTTTTCAGTTTTTTGATTTTTCAACTTTCGAATTTTTCAATTTCTCGCTTTTTAAATTTTTGATCTGTTTTTCGATTACTGATTTATCTGGACAACTGAAAAAACTTTCGATTTTTTAATTATTTTACAATTTTGGCAGTTTTCCGATTTCTCAATTTTTTGATTTTTAAAAATATCGTGAAAATAGGTGTTCATTTTTTTTTATTTTCGATTTTTAATTTTTTGTCACTGAGTTTTTGGAAAGAAGTAAAAAGTAATTTTGATCGGCGATTTGCCATGTTTACCGTAACTTTACAATTTGTTTCTAATTTTCAATTTTCGGATTTTTCGATTTTTCAAAATTTCGGTTCGAATAAATTTGTTCTTTTAGTTAAAAAATCGAAAAATGACAAATCGTGAAAAACAAAAATTTTAACTTGAGAACTTGAAAAATAAAAATCAAAAAATTCAAAAATTGTAAAGTTAATATTTGAAAAATCAGAAGATTGGAATTAAAAACTCCAAAATTGTCAAACAAATTATCAAATGAAATATTCAAAAGTTGAAAAATCTAAAAACTAAAAAAAATGAAAACTGGAATTTCGATTTTATAAGATGTTTTTTTTTCAATTGTTCGACATTTGAGTTTTTGATTTTCCGATTATACAGTTGTACAATTTTCGGATTTCTCATTTATCCGATTTTTCAATTTGTCATTTTTTGGTTTTTCACTTTTTTTGTTTTTAGCAAGGGCTAACCCCTCCCACCCAGTCTTTATTTTCTTAGAATAATAAGTCATCTGGCAAAATCAGTCTCATCTTGACAAGTACTAGCCCCGCCCACCCACCCTTTGTTTTCTTAGAAGAGTGGGTCATCTGCCAAAATCAGTCTCATCTTGACAAGTACTAGCCCCGCCCACCCACCCTCTTTTTTCTTAAAGAATATGTTATTTGCAAAAATCAGTCTCATACTTGCCAAGATAAGATTAATTTTGGCAGATGACTAGTCTTCTGAGAAAACAAAGGGTGGGTGGGCGGGGCTAGTACCTTTTCTTAGAAGAGTGGGCCATTTGTCAAAATGAATTTTAGTTTGGCAAATACTATCCTGGCCCATCCGCCTTTTATTTTCATAGAGGGTAGGTTATTTGGTAAGTACTACCATAGTGTAAAATTTCATTTTTGAAAAAGTTGTCTAAAAATTTTGAAAAAATTCAGAGATGTATATACATATATCCCGACGTGCTGATTTCATAAATATAGCATGTTTATGGCAACGGAGCAATTTTCGGAAAATTCGGTGTGAAATTAGACTTTTTTGAAATTTTTAAAAATCGCGATACTTCAATGGCGATTCTGGAAAAACGGTTTAAGTTATCGAAGAAATGAAGCCAGAAGTGACTTCTGCGGCCCAAAATCTATATGGAAGTATTTAGTTAAATTTCGAAAATCGTCGAGAATGGGTCGAAATTTGCATAAGGGAGGTAATACGAATACATAATGGGAAATTTCATTTTTGAAAAAGTTATCTAAAAATTCTGATTAAATTCAGGGATATATATCCCGACGTGTCGAATTTATTTATTCTTCATTCTTGGTTAAGAATATGTACTTTATTTCTGTTCAATAAAATTAAAGTTTATTTGAAATTTGTGTTCAGCAGTGTATGAAGTTGTTAATCAATTCCCTTTCAGCTTTTGGGAAATTCGCTGATCCGAACAAATCGCTATTCCGAACACACCTTTCCCCAATTAATTCGGATTATCGAGGTTATACTGTACTTTATTTGCTTACGCTCGGGAAGTAAAAAGACAAAATATAAACCCCGCCCACCCACCCATCTCAATTGTTATGTGTGTTAATTATTTGATTTTTAAAAACATAGAGAAAATAGATGTTTATTTTTTTTTAATTTCCGATTTTTAATTTTTTGTCACTGAGTTTTTGGAAGGAATTAAAAAGTAATTTTGATCAGCGATCTGCCATGTTCACAGTCATTTTAAAACATCTGAAAACTTTGTTTCTAATTTTCAATTTTTCAAAATTTCAGTTCGAATAAATTTATTCTTTTAGTTAAAAAATCGAAAAATGACAAATAGTGAAAAGGAAAAATTTTAACCATTAGACCTTGAAAACTTAAAAATCAAAAGATTCAAAAGCTGTAAAGTTAAAACTTAAAAAATGAAAAGATTGGAATTAAAAAGTGCAAAATTGTCAAACAAATTATCAAATGCAATATTCAAAAGTTGAAAAATCTAAAAACTAAAAAAAATGAAAACTGGAATTTCGAATTCGATTTTATAAGATTTGTTTTTTTTTTTTCAATTTGTCGGTATTTCAGTTTTTGATTTTCCGATTATCCAGTTGTACAATTTTCCGATTTCTCGTTTATCCAATTTTTCAATTTGTCCTTTTTTGATTTTTCAATTTTTTTGTTTTTAACAAATGCTAACCGTTCCCACCCAGCCTTTATTTTCATCTGCCAAAATCAGTCTTATTTTAACAAGTACTAGCCCCGCCCACCCCCCCTTGTTTTCTTAGTTGTTATGTCATCTGCAAAAATCATGCTTGCGAAGATAAGACTGATTTTGCCAGATGACCTATTCTTTATTTTCTTAGAAGAGTAGGTCATTGGCCAAAATGAGTCTTATTTTGGCAAATACTAGCCCCGCCCACCCGCCCTTTGTTTTCTTAAGAGAGTGATCATTTGCCAAAATCAGTCTTATCGTAGTGAGTACTACTAGATTTTTCAGTTTTTCGGTTTTTCAATTTCTCGCTGTTTAAATTTTCAATTTTTTTATCTGTCTTTCAATTATTGATTTATCTGGACAACTGAAAAGACTTTCGATTCTTTAATTTTACAGTTTTGGCAGTTTTCCGATTTCTCAATTATTTGATTTTAAAAAATATCGTCAAAATAGATGTTTATTTTTTTTTAATTTTCGATTTTAAATTTTTTGTCACTGAGTTTTTGGAAGGGATTAAAAAGTAATTTTGATCAGCGATCTGCCATGTTCACAGTCATTTTAAAACATCTGAAAACTTTGTTTCTAATTTTCAATTTTTCAAAATTTCAGTTCGAATAAATTTATTCTTTTAGTTAAAAAATCGAAAAATGACAAATAGTGAAAAGGAAAAATTTTAACCATTAGACCTTGAAAACTTAAAAATCAAAAGATTCAAAAGCTGTGAAGTTCAAACTTGAAAAATCAAAAGATTGGAATTAAAAAGTGCAAAATTGTCAAACAAATTATCAAATGCAATATTCAAAACTTGAAAAATCTAAAAACTAAAAAAACTGAAAACTGGAATTTCGAATTCGATTTTATAAGATTTGTTTTTTTTCAATTTGTCGATATTTCAGTTTTTGATTTTCCGACTATACAGTTGTACAATTTTCCGATTTCTCGTTTATCCAATTTTTCAATTTGTCATTTTTTGATTTTTCAATTATTTTGTTTTTAACAAGTGCTAACCCTTCCCACCCAGCCTTTATTTTCATCTGCCAAAATCAGTCTTATTTTAATAAGTACTAGCCCCGCCCACCCGCCCTTGTTTTCTTAGTTGTTATGTCATCTGCAAAAATCATACTTGCGAAGATAAGAATGATTTTGCCAGATGACCTATTTTTTATTTTCTTAGAAGAGTAGGTCATTGGCCAAAATGAGTCTTATTTTGGCAAATACTAGCCGCACCCACCGCCCTTTGTTTTCTTAAGAGAGTGATCATTTGCCAAAATCAGTCTTATCGTAGTACCACTAGATTTTTCAGTTTTTCGATTTTTCAACTTTCGAATTTTTCAAATTCACGATTTTTAAATTTTCAATTTTTTGATCTGTTTTTCGATTATTGATTTATCTGGACAACTGTAAAAACTTTCGATTTTTTAATTTTACAATTTTGGCAGTTTTCCGATTTCTCAATTATTTGATTTTTAAAAATCTCGAGAAAATAGATGTTTATTTTTTTTTTAATTTTCGATTTTTAATTTTTTGTCACTGAGTTTTTGGAAGGGAGTAAAAGGTAATTTTGATCAGCGATTTGCCATGTTTACCGTAAGTTTAATAAAACATCTGAAAATTTGTTTCTAATTTTCAATTTTTGGATTTTTCGATTTTTCAAAATTTCTGTTAGAATTAATTTGTTCTTCAAAAGTTGAAAAATCTAAAAACTAAAAAAAAATGAAAACTGGAATTTCGAATTCGGTTTTATAAGATTTGTTTTTTTCCAATTTGTCAATATTTCAGTTTTTGATTTTCCGATTATACAGTTGTACAATTTTCCGATTTCTCGTTTATCCGATTTTTCAATTTGTTATTTTTTGATTTATCAAGTATTTTGTTTTTAACAAGTGCTAACCCTTCCCACCCAGCCTTTATTTTCATCTGCCAAAATCAGTCTTATCTTGACAAGTACTAGCCCCGCCCACCCACCCTTATTTTCTTAAAGAATATGTCTTTTGCAAAAATCAGTCTCATACTTGCCAAGATAGGATTAATTTTGGCAGATGACTACTCTTCTAAGAAAATAAAGGGTGGGTGGGCGGGGCTAGTAACTTTTCTTAGAAGAGTAGGTCATTTGTTAAAATGAATCATATTTTGGCAAATACTAGCCTGGCCCACCCGCCTTTTATTTTCATAGAGGGTAGGTTATTTGGCAAGTACTACCATAGTGTAAAATTTCATTTTTGAAAAAGTTGTCTAAAAATTCTGAAAAAATTCAGAGATGTATATATATCCCGACGTGCTGATTCCATAAATATAGCAACTTCATGGTAACCGAGCAATATTTTCGGAAAATTCGGTGTGAAATTCGAATTTTTTGAAATTTTTAAAAATCGCGATATTTCAATGGCGATTCTGGAAAAACGGTTTAAGTTATCGAAGAAATGAAGCCAGAAGTGACTTTTGTGGCCCAAAATCTATATGGAAGTATTTAGTTAAATTTCGAAAATCGTCGAGAATGGGTCGAAATTTGCATAAGGGAGGTAATACGAATACATAATGGGAAATTTCATTTTTGAAAAAGTTATCTAAAAATTCTGATTAAATTCAGGGATATAGATCCCGACGTGTCGAATTTATTTATTTTCCCTTGTTGGTTAAGAATATGTACTTTATTTCTGTTTAATAAAATTAAAGTTTATTTGAAATTTGGATTATCGAGGTTATACTGTACTTCCTTTGCTTACGCTCAGAAAGTAAAAAGGCGAAATATAAACCCCGCCCACCCACCCATCTCAATTATTATGATTTTTTTATTCTTAGAAACTTAAAACACGTTAAAATGGTAAATTTTTTAAATATGGATTTTGCTACTAGACTCCGCCCCTAGGATTGGTAACGAATGAAAACTTCATTACTACATATTTAGATCAGGGCAAGTATGGGTGGGGCTTGATCTTTGGATTTAATTTTTTCTTAATATACCTAGTATTCTTTGAACAACACAAAACCATATTTTTAATTTCTCGTAGAGAAATTAGGATTTTGCAGTTAAGCTTCGCCTCCTTGGCTCACGACAAATAAAAAAAATCATCACAATTGAGATAGGGTGGGTGGGCGGGGATACATTTTGCCTTTTTTCTTAATATGTGTAGATTATCACAAAACGAAAATCGCACAATTTAATTTTAAAATTTTTTAAATAAGCGGAATTTATCAGACTATACTTTGTAAATTTCCCATGTCCTCAATCCAACACTGCTAATCAGTAAACACACAAACAAGTGTTAATTAAATTTTACCCGATCTTCATGATCTCTTTGTACGGCGATCGTTTCTGAGTAGCGACCCACGGTTCAATAAAATTTACATATTCGATTTCCTTGAGGCCGCACTTCTCCCCTTCTTGAAACAAATTGCTGATTATTTTATACCCCGTATTTAGTTCGATGTGGAAGGCAAAAAATCCTTCTTGGACCCTTCTAATACCTTCCTCTGCTTTAAAAAAATTGGCTTTCTGACCTTTCGGAGCCACTTTTTGCTCGTAAATTGCCTTCCTCACAGGCTCTTGGTCATTCTACAACAATCACTGGAAATATTTATAGCTCTCGCGAATAATAAACACATTACTTCGAAGTAGTAGTGAGCGTAAACGATATCTTCGACCCCGAGTTTGATCCTCGATTGTAATAAATCCTCCAGAGTTTGAATACTGTTTGTGGTGGATTGCAACAACGCCACTATGTTTGCAGAATAAGAAGTGTAGAGGAACATAAAAGCGATGAAAGTGAAAATCGTGATTATTCTTCCGGTGTTACTTTGAGGCTCCACGTCGCTACCTTGTTGCGTAATTGCCCCAATTTCCATCATTATCACGTCGAAAAATTTGGGACGCAAAGCAACATTTTGTACGACTTTGTTTCTAAATTTTGTTTGTTTCCATTCCCATTTGACAATGATGTAGATAAATACAACAACGACTGCAACCATTGCGAAACAGCAATGCCACACCGAAGAACTAAACGAAAGTGCGAAAACATTCGTAACGTATGACAGAGGAGGTGCTCTGAAGATAAATTTCATGTGAGAGGGAGTCGTAGCTGCTAAGTAATCAATAATATCTACACGTTCGTATGTAAAGAATAAAGCCGTACCTTTAAAATATAAATAAGTAGTTAGTAAGTTAGGAAAAACAAAAATTTAACCTCCTAGATCGGCAATGTGGGTTTGCAAATCACCCACCATTCCAGAATATATTCCCGTCGAGGCATTTTTATAACCCCACGTCTGTCGCATCACAAATTTCCTGCTAGCATTCAAATAATCCATTAACACGTTCACAAGAACGTAATTAAGTTTGGTGATGGCGTCAATATGAGTGTCTCTGAAAAACACCGCAGTCACAATTTTCCGACTGACCCTATTCACCTGTAGTCCCCCAAATGGTTCAACGAATCCGGGTTTGTGATAACGCAAGACAAAGTAAAACTATGTCCCATCAGATTAGTTCTTTCAGCGAAAGAAAACTGACCAAAGTTATCCAAGTAGCGTTTCACAAATTTGTCTTCCGAAGAATATTTATAAACAAGTGCGACTCTGTCAGAATCCTGTGGTTCTACAACGAAAACTTGACTGTCTACTCCAAAATAAAACTCCGATAAATGAATTGTGTCCCCGTGGATTAACCATTTCAGTGGAAATTTAAACATCCCGAAGTCTTGTGCCTGTACAATTCGTTAATTCAAACTCGAACTCCAACTCAATTTAAAATCAGAACCTGTTTTAGAATCTCCATAGAATGGTTGCAAGCCAAATCAATTACGTACAACTGATTCGTCCATAGGTGTGTTTGAATTTTCGTTGAATAATTGATGTACTTATTCGTCAGGTTTTTCCAAAACAGAATGTCGTGTTCTAAAAATGGCATCAATCGAATTATTTTTAACTTCGGGGAAAACTTGCTTCGGCAAATGTACGTCGTTACTTTCGCAGACATGGTAAACGAATTAATAAAATTGGCGAACCTGTAATTACGTGTTTGACACTTCGTGGAAAAAATTAATATCGATAGAAGTAAAAGTTCGGGCGACATTTTAGCAATCCTAGTCGTAAAAGTTGCCGTCGATCGTTTTTATGTTGTCCCAAATGAGCTAATTGTACGTGTTTTCTCTATAATCAGTGGGTTTTCATAATTGCAGGTTTTGTGTTCAGGCTGGTCATTATTCTTACGTGATTCCTGTTTTACTGGATGCGATGATTTATTATTCCCAACGACGATGTCGGTGGATGATAAAAATGGTAAAGAATGAATGAACGTGTCTGGGCAAAAATAGGAATTATGTAAACAGGTAGATCACCGGGTTTGAGGTAATAAATAATTCATAATTTTATAGCTGTTAAATGGTTTATCATTATGGTAATGACTAATGAGACACGTTATGTTAGTTATTAGTCTTTCTTTTATTATTTATTGGGAATATTGTTATCTTCTAACTGCATTAACATATTTAAATTGGTAAATTGCGGTTAACGGATGTTTTATTCATGAGTGAAAAAAAATAATTGAAATCAAATTTATTCCGAAAAATCTTGTTACATAAAGTGCTTACGTAGAAAGTCATATTTTAATAATTTTTAGAATTTTCAAAACACACGATTAAGTAAATTATACCTATTTAAATTTAATTTTATCACTTATTTAAATGGATTTTTTAAACACTTTGACGTAGATAAAATTTTGTGCAGCGGTTCAATTTAGAACTTAGCTACATATTTTAAGTTTCTTCTTATGAAAACAAGACTACGTATATTAAGAAAAACAGAAGCAAAATATAAGCCCCGCCCACCCACCCGGTCTCAATTGTTATTAATTTTTCTATGCGCCATGAACCGCGAGGAGCTTAATTGGTAAACCTGATTTCTCTCAAGGAATTACCATGTAAAACAAGTTTTAAAGTAATTGTGTTAAAAAAAAACTAGATGTGTTTAGTAAAAAAGACAACTAAAGATTATGTCCCACCTATACCGTCCCCGATCTCAGTTGTGATTAATGTTTCATTCGTTGCCAGACCGAGGGGCGGAGCATAATCGCAAAACCCATATAAGAATGTGAGTGCAGCGAGCAGGTTGAGGTGTTATTAAAAATTACTCATTAGTGTCCCTGAGAAGCTAAATTATTAATAAAAAAAAGTATATATATATATATATATATATAAATTTTGATTAAATTGCAGAATATTGTCATATAATTTTGAATTTATTCCGAAAATCTGGATGTCTAGTATAACAAATTTGTTTCATTTTCACCAATTTTTCCACAATTTTCGATATGAAATATAATTTTTTTTTTTCAATTTCAATACTCAAAACGAGTAAAATTAACAATTTTGCCTTTTTTTCTGGATATACGCAATCATCTTTTCACGACAATATATTTAAATCGTTTAAAATGGTAAATTTTTGACCGGAAACATCGATTTTACAATTAGGCTCCGCCCCTCGGTCTGACAACGTATGAAAAATTCGTTACAATTGAGATTGGTGCGGGTGGGTGGGGATTACTTTTCCTAAACATATATAGTTTTCTTTCAACAACGTGTTATTTAAAAACAGCTGGGGTTTGTATTTCGCCTTTTTTTCTTAATATGTGTGCGTACTTTTCTTTTCATGACAAGAAACTGAAAACATGTTTAAAAGGCTAAATTTGTAGAAAAGTGTATGGAATAAAATTTATCATTTTAAACATGTTTTCAGTTTCTTGTTATGAAAAAAAAAAAAACAATATATATTAAGGAAAAAAACCAATGCAAAACATAAGCCCCACCCACCCACCCGATCTCAATTGTAACGCTCTTTCTTTATTCGTCGTTAGTCAAGGGGGGCGGAGTTTAATTGCAAAATCCGTATTTTTCTAAAATAATGACCATGTGAAACATGTTCTTCAGGGATGGGTTTTTGAGGATCGTATTATTCAAAGAATGCTATGAATATTAAGAAAAATAAAAGCCAAAGATTAAGCCCCACCCATACCTGCCCTGATCTAAATAGTAATGAAGTTTTCATTAGTTGGCAGACCTAAGGGCGGAGCATAATTGCAAAATTCAATTTCCCTACAAAAATTTAATGTTTTGAGTTTCTTGTTGTGAAAAGAAAACTGTGTATATTAAGAAAAACAGGGGCAAAATATAAGCCCCGCCCACCCACCCGGTCTCAATTGTGATGACTTTTTTATTCGTCGTGAGCCAAGAGGGCGGAGCTTAATTGCAAAATCTGTATTTTTTTACAAGAATTACCAAGTGAAACATGTTCTTTAGTGGTGGTGTTGGTCAGAGAAAACTATATGTATCAAGTAAAAAAAAATCTCATAGTATTCTTTGAACAACACGATTCTCAAAAACATGTTCTTAATTTCTTGTAAAGAAATAAGTATTTTGCAGTTAAGTTCCGCCCCCTTGGTTCACGGCGAATAAAAAACATCATCACAACTGAGATAGGATTCCAAAGCTTCCAAAGATTCCAAATACTCCTAATAGTTCAATTTTTCGATTTTTTGATTTCTCGATTCTTCAATCTTTCGACATTTCAGTTTTTCTTTTTTTTTAATTTTAGATATTTCGATTTTTCGGTTTTTTTGTACTTCAGTTTTCAATTTTTCGGATTTTTAAATGTTAGATTTTTCACTTTTTTAAAGTTTGGATGTCTATGTTTTGATTTTTTTCCCAAAATCTGAATGTCTAGTGTAAAAAATCTGTTTCGTTTTGATTTTGTGGAAAATTTTCACCAATTTTTCCACAATTTACAATATGAAATATAACAATTCTTTAGAGTTTCAATTTTCACAACGAGTAACATCAGCAATTTTGCCTTTTTTTCTGGATATACGTAATAATCTTTTCACGACAAAATATTAAAACCGTATAAAATAGTAAATTTTTGTCGGGAAACATCGATTTTACAATTAAGCTCCGCCCCTCGGTCTGACAACGTAGGAAAAATTCGTTACAATTGAGATTGGGGCGGGTGGGTGGGGATTATTTTTCCTTAACAGATATAGTTTCCTTTCAACAATATCTTATTTAAAAACATGTTGCACGTAGTAGTTTCTTATAGAGAAATAAGCATTTTGCAATAAACTCCGCCCTTCGATTCACAACGAATAAAAACGTTAGCACGATTGAAACGAGGCCGGGTGGGCGGGGTTTGTATTTTGCCTCTTTTTTCTTGATATATGTACGTACGTTTCTTTTCACAAGAAACTGAAAACATGTTTAAAAGGGTAAATTTGTAGAGAAGTGAATGGGATAAAATTTACCATTTTGAACATGTTTTTAGTTTCTTGTTATGGAAAAAAAACAATATATATTAAAAAAAAAAAATTAAAAACATAAGCCCCACCCACCCGCCCTATCCCAGTTGTGACACTTTTTCTTTGTTGGTTGTTAGTCAAGTGGGGCGGAGCTTAATTGCAAAATCCGTATTTTTCTACAAGAATTACTCTGTGAAACATGTTCTTCAGTAATGGTGTTGCTGGGAGAAATCTATATGTAAAAAACGAAAGCTAAGCGCCACCCATCCGTCTGGATCTCCAATCATGATGAATTTTCCATTCGTTGCCAGACTGAGGGGCGGAGCGTAATTACAACATCCATATTTCCTGTTTTAAACACGTTTAGTTTCTTGTTGTGAAAAGAAAACTACGGATGTTGAGAAAAAAAGGCAAAATATAAGCCCCACCCACCCACCCTATCTCTATTGTAATGACTTTCTTTATTCATAGTGAGCCAAGAGGGTGGAGCTTAAAATCCTACAAGAAATTATCATGCAAGACATGTTTTTGAGTATCGGAGATTATCTGTCTAATAAAAATCCGGACAGACAGACAGACAGACAGACACGAGAAAACGTAAAAGTAGAGAATCGGTCGACGGAGTCGATTACAATACTTTCTTCGCTTACGTTCGGGAAGTAACAACTTTAAAAATGGGGTGAAATGTTAAAAAAAAATGTCACCATAAAGATTGACTTTTTCTATTTTATAAAAGAGCAATAAAAATTTCAACATCAAAATTGGCCTATTTGCTTAACAACATGATAAAGTAGCTTAAAATAGATGAAAAAAGCTTAAATAAAATAATGAAAAAAGCAAATGTGGGATGAAACGTTTGCCAAAATCAGTTTTATCTGAGCAAGTGCTAGCCCCGCCCACCCGCCCCTGTTTTCTCAGGAGATATGGCATCTGCCAAAATAAGACTTATCTTAGCAAGTACTACCTTCTGAGAAAATAACGGGTGGGTGGGCGGGGCTAGTACTTGCTAACATAAGTCTTATTTTATCAAATGATATATCCCCTGAGAAAATAGGGGGCGGGTGGGCGGGGCTAGTACTTGCTCAGATAAGACCGATTTTGGCAGATGACAAGTCCTCTGAGAAAATAGTGGGCGGGTGGGCGGGCCTAGTATTTGTTAAGATAAAACTGATTTTGCCTCTATTTATCTTGTAAAAACTTGTGAAATTTAAAGATGTTAAATTGCAAATTTCTATAGTAACCAGTTAAATTTCTAAATTTACCCGAAATGTGCAAAATATGATGAGTTTTTACTTACAAAAATTAATGTGTTTGTAATTTTGATTTTTTTTCTCCAAAAATCTGGATGTCTTGGAGAAAAATTCAGCAGGGGTTCATAAACCACATGTGCAGCAGAATCTTATTTGTTTAATAAAAATCCGGACAGACGGACAGACAGACAGACAGACGGACAGACAGACACGAGAAAACGTAAAAGTAGAGAGTCGGTCCATGGACTCGATTACAATACTTTCTTCACTTACACTCGGGAAGTAATAACCTTAAAAATGGTGTGAAATGTTCAAAAAATGCATTAAAAAAAAACTTCACCATAAAAATGAACTTTTTTTATTTTATAACAAATCAATAAAAATTTCAATGTCAAAATTGGCCTATTATCTTAAAAACATCATAACATACCTTAAAATAGATGAAAAAAGACGTAATAAAAGCTTAAATAAAATAATGAAAAAAGAAAATGTGGGATGAAACGTTTGCCAAAGTCAGTCTTATCTGAGCAAGTGCTAGCCCCGCCCACCCGCCCCTGTTTTCTCCGGGGATATGGCATCTGCCAAAATAAGACTTATCTTAGCAAGTACTACCTTCTGAGAAAATAAGGGGTGTGTGGGCGGGGCTAGTAATTGCTATCATAAGTCTGATTTATTCAAATAATGTATTCTTTGAGAAGATAGGGGGCGGGTGGGCGGGGCTAGTATTTTGGTAAGATAAGACTGATTTTGGCAGATGACATATCCTCTAAGAAAGTAAAGGGTGGGTGGGCGGGGCTAGTACTTGCTAAGATAAGACTTATTTCGGCAAATGACATATCCTCTGGGAAAATAGGGGGCGGATGGGCGGGCCTAGTATTTGTTAAGATAAAACTGATTTTGCCTCTATTAATGTTGTAAAAACTTGTGAAACTTAAAGATGTTAAATTGCAAAGTTCCATAGTAACCAGTTAAATTTCTAAATTTACCCGAAATGTGCAAAATATGATGAGTTTTTACTTAAAAAATTTAAGTATTTGAAAAATTTAAGTATTTGTAATTTTGATTTTTTCTCCAAAAATCTGGATGTCTTGGAGAAAAATTCAACAGGGGTTCATTAACCACATGTGCAGCAGTATCTTATTTGTTTAATAAAAATCTGGACAGACGAACAGACAGACACAAATAATAACCTTATAAATGGTGTGAAATGTTAAAAAATGCATTAAAAAAAAAACTTCATAATAAAAATTGACCTTTTAATTTTATAAAAAAGCAATGAAAACTTCAAAGTCAAAATTAGTCTGTTTGCTTAAAAACATCATAAAGTGCCTTAAAATAGATGAAAAAATAGGTAATAAAAGCTTAAATAAATGAAAACAGAAAATGTGAGATGAAACGTTTGCCAAAGTCAGTCTTATCTGAGCAAGTGCTAGCCCCGCCCACCCGCCCCTGTTTTCTCAGGGGATATGTCATCTGCCAAAATAAGACTAATCTTAGCAAGTACTACCTTCTGAGAAAATAAAGGGTGGGTGAGCGGAGCTAGTACTTGATAACATTAGTCTTATTTTATCAAATGACATATCCTCTGTAAAAATAGGGGGCGGGTGCGCGGGGCGAATACTTGCCAACATAAGTCTTATTTCATCAAATGACATACCCTCTGAGAAAATAGGGGGCGTGTGGGCGGGGCTAGGACTTTGATAAAATAAGATTGATTTTGGCAAATGACATACCCTCTAAGAAAATAAAGGGTGGGTGGGCGGGGCTAGTACCTGCTAAGATAAAACTTATTTCGGCAAATGACACATCCTCTGGGAAAATAGGGGGCGGGTGGGCGGGCCTAGTATTTGTTAAGATAAAACTGATTTTGCCTCTATTTATCTTGTAAAACTTGTGAAATTTGAAGATGTTAAATTGCAAATTTCCATAGTAGCCAATTAAATTTCTAAATTTACCCGAAATGTGCAAAATATGATGAGTTTTTATTTAAAAAATTAATGTATTTGTAATATTGATTTTTTCTCCAAAAATCTGGATGTCTAATAAAAATTCAACAGGGGTTCATAAACCACATGTGCAGCAGTATCTTATTTGTTTAATAAAAATCTGGACAGACGAACAGACAGACAGACAGACAGACAGACAGACGGACAGACAGACACAAGTAATAACCTTAAAAATGGTGTGAAATGTTAAAAAATGCATTAAAAAAAAACTTCACCATAAAAATTGACCTTTTTATTTTATAAAAAAGCAATAAAAACTTCAAGGTCAAAATTAGCCTGTTTGCTTAAAAACATCATAAAGTACCTTAAAATAGATGAAAAAATAGGTAATAAAAGCTTAAATAAATGAAAAAAGAAAATGTGGGATGAAACGTTTGCCAAAGTCAGTCTTATCTGAGCAAGTGCAAGCCCCGCCCACCCACCCCTGTTTTTTCCGGGGATATGGCATCTGCCAAAATAAGACTTATCTTAGCAAGTACTACCTTCTGAGAAAGTAACTGGTGGGTAAGCGTGGCTAGTACTTGATAACATAAGTCTGATTTATTCAAATGATATATTCTCTGAGAAAATAGGGGGCGGGTGGGCGGGGCTAGTATTTTGGTAAGATAAGATTGATTTTGGCAGATGACATATCCTCTAAGAAAGTAAAGGGTGGGTGGGTGGGGCTAGTACTTGCTAAGATAAGACTTATTTCGGCAAATCATATATCCTCTGGGAAATAGGGGGCGGGTGGGCGGGGCTAGTATTTGTTAAGATTAAACTAATTTTGCCTCTATTAATCTTTTAAAAACTTGTGAAATTTAAAGATCTTAAGTTGCAAATTTCCATAGTAGCCAATTAAATTTCTAAATTTACCCGAAATGTGCAAAATATGATGAGTTTTTACTTAAAAAATTAATGTATTTGTAATTTTGATTTTTTTCTCCAAAAATCTGGATGTCTTGGAGAAAAATTCAACAGGGGTTCATAAACCACATGTGCAGCAGTATCTTATTTGTTTAATAAAAATCTGGACAGACGGACAGACAGACAGACAGACAGACAGACGGACAGACAGACACGAAAAAACGTAAAAGTGGAGAGTCGGTCGATGGACTCGATTACAATACTTCATTCGCTTACACTCGGGAAGTAATAACTTTAAAAATGGTGTGAAATGTTAAAAAATGCATTAAAAAAAACTTCACCATAAAAATTGACCTTTTTATTTTATAAAAAAGCAATAAAACATCAAGGTCAAAATTAACCTGTTTGCTTAAAAACATCATAAAGTACCTTAAAATAGATGAAAAAACAGGTAATAAAAGCTTAAATAAATGAAAACAGAAAATGTGAGATGAAACGTTTGCCAAAGTCAGTCTTATCTGAGCAAGTGCTAGCCCCGCCCACCCGCCCCTGTTTTCTCCGGGGATATGTCATCTGCCAAAATAAGACTTATCTTAGCACGTACTACCTTCTGAGAAAATAAGGGGTGGGTGGGCGGGGCTAGTAATTGCTAACATAAGTCTGATTTATTCAAATAATGTATTCTTTGAGAAGATAGGGGGCGGGTGGGCGGGGCTAGTACTTTGGTAAGATAAGACTGATTTTGGCAGATGACATATCCTCTAAGAAAGTAAAGGGTGGGTGGGTGGGACTAGTACTTGCTAAGATAAGACTTATTTCGGCAAATCATATATCCTCTGGGAAAATAGGGGGCGGGTGGGCGGGCTTAGTATTTGTTAAGATAAAACTGATTTTGCCTTTATTAATCTTGTAAAAACTTGTAAAATTTAAAGATATTAAATTGGAAACTTCCATAGTAACCAGTTAAATTTATAAATCTACCCGAAATGTGCAAAATTCTCTTATTTATGTAACGTAAATAATTATTACTAATTTAAAAACACAGAATTAAACAATGATTGTGCTATTAATATTAATATATTCAATATTAGACCGCAAATGCAACAAATGCAAATATTTTTATTCTTGTTACATTTACAATATTCTACTCAATAATTTTTATTAAAACGTTAAGAGAACAATAGTGACGAAAAAGATGTGACAAAACCGTTTATAATTGTTACTGGTTAGTTATTAAAAAAAAAAAAATCGACGATAGATCGACCAGTACAAAAATTAAATTTGTTTCATCATGTATGAATGGATTCATTAAATTGCCATTACATTTTTTACCTTAAAAATATCAGTTCCAACAAACTCGATATTTCCGATGTTCCTAGAACACCTCATGACTAACAAATAAGCTGATATAAATATTTCAAACTTTGCGTTGATGGATGCTAGCGGTTTCGAGGTTCATGAAAAAAAAATCTAATGCATATGTAACACATTAACGCAAGGAGACACTTTCAGACCTTCAAATTCGCGTTTTAACAACGATTGGCGTGAGTTTTAATACTTACCCGATCTTCATGATTTCCTTGTAGGGCGACCTTTTCTTAATTCCAATGTAAGGTTCGAAAAAATTCTCGTAATCGATTTCTTTAAGGCCACACTTTTCCCCTTCTTGAAAAATGTTGCTGATGAGGTTGTAGCCCGTGTGGAGCTCCACGTGGAAGGCAAAAAACCCCTCTTGCACCTTCCGTATTCCTTGTTCGGCTGTCATGAAGTTGGGTTTCTGGCCTTTGGGGGCCACTTTTTGCTCGTAGATGGCCTTCCTTACGGGCTCTTTCGCATTCTACAATAAAAAAAAACGACACATATATCGAAATTGTTATTTCTCTACACACTTCAAAATAGTAGTGTCCGTAAATTATGTCCTCGACTCCTAATTTTATCCTCGAGTGTAATAAATCCTCCAAAGTTTGAATACTGTTAGTCGTGGATTGCAGCAACGCCACTATGTTTGCAGAATACGAAGTGTAAAGAAACATAAGAGTGGCTAAAGTGAAGATCGTGATGATTCTTCCTGCGTTGCTTTGGGGCTCCACGTCGCTCCCTTGTTGCGTAATAGCCCCAATTTCCAACATAAGTACGTCAAAAAAATTGGGGCGGAGAGGGGGAGTTGGATGGTCTACTATGGTATTGCGAAATTTTATCTCCCTCCACTCCCAAGCGACGATGACGTAGATGAAAACTACCACTATTGCAACCATTACGAAGGAGTAGTGCCAAACGGCGGAGTCAAAAGGGAGAGTGAAGACATTCGTGACGTACGATAGAGGAGGTGCTCTGAAAATAAATTTCATGAAAGCTGGAGTCGTTGCTGCTATATAATCAATGAATTCCATCCGTTCAGGTGTGATGAATAGCGGTGTACCTTAAAAAAAAAAACTGTAAACCAAAAAATTAAAAAAATGACGAGTTTGAACCTGCCAGATCGGCTAAACCGGTATGCAAATCCCCCGCCATTCCAGAAAACACTCCCGTGGTTACATTTTTGTACCCCCACGACTTTCGCACTATAAATTTTCTTGTAGCGTTCAAGTAGTCCATTAGGATATTAGCAAGAATGTAGTTAAGTTTGCTTAAGGCGTCCATGTGTCTATTTCTAAAAATACCACATAATTAATTGAAACCTAGTGCGATTTTTAAACCTGTAGTCCACTAAATGTTTCAGCGAATCCTCATTCGTAATAACGTACGACGTAGTTACGACATTTCCCATAAGATTCGTTCGTTTAACAATAGAAAAGTCGGCATAATTTTCCACGTAATCTTGTACAAAGTCGGTTTGTGTCGATGAATATTTATAAATTGCGATTGTGCGTTCCGATTCTGGATTCATTACGAAAACTTGACTGTCGAGTCCGAAGTGGAGACCCAGAAGCTGATTCGCATCTCCGTATATCAACCACTTGGCTGGCGATTTAAACATTTCGAGTTTTTCAGCCTGCGTAATTTACATATAATGCAAACGTTGATAGTATTTAGATAAAGAACCTGTTTTAGAATATCCATCGAGTTTTCACAACGTAAGTCAATTATAAAGAGTTGATTTGTGGGTACAGTTTGACGGACTTTCGTTAAGTAGTTGTGATACTTACTCAGGTTTTTCCAGAGGAGATTTTGTTGCTCTAGAATGGAATTTAGTTAAAGCGGGTCGGGGTTTGGTGGAGAACTTGCTTGAACAAATGTAGGTGGTGATTTTTGGGGGCATTGGAAACGAATCGACGAATTTGGATATTTTTTTAAATACGTGGTTTTCACTTTTTGCGAAAGAAATTAAAATTAGTAGGGCTAGAAATGTGAGAGATCTTATTTTAAGCGGCATTTTCAGTCTGGTGTGGTCGAAGTGGTCACCCAGGTTTTTATCCTCACTGTAATAAGTTAATGATAGCGCTGTGTGTATAATCCGAGATTTTCCTAATTATGGATTATTTGTTCCAGGTTATCATTATGTCTAGGGGTTTCCCATTTGTCGTAGTTGGGTAATTTATACTTTGATAGCCGCTGGTCAATAATTGAAAAGTCGACGAAAAACGTGTCTGATGAATATTAATTGAACGGTTTCATTTTATCGGAACGTTTTTTTTTTTCAAAATTTTTGTTTTTAAAAGTACTTTTCAGAAAAAAAAATTTTAAAAAATTTTTGGTGTGACGTTCTATGAGATTGTTAAATTTTTTGAGAAAAACCGTCAATTTCTCCAGGTCCGACATTTTTGATTGTTTTCTTTTTATTAAAATAAATTAAAAGAAAAACTCGATTTTTTTTTTTAAACTCAGTCTATTACACTAAAATTATTTTAAATCTACAATTTTACAATACAATTTAGTTTGCTGAAATTTTTATACTTTTTTCTACCCCACTAAAGTCGTTTCTCAGAATTTTTCAAATTTTTTTACCCAATCAAAAAAAATGATGAATTTTTCAAAAAAATCGCTCTTTTTTTTCAAAAAACTATAATTTTTTCAAAAATTGAGTTATCGGGACGTTTTTTTTTCAAAATTTTTATCTCTAAATGTGCTTTTCAGAAAAAAATTTAAAACAAATTTGTCATGTAGGATTCTATGAGATTTTCCATTGTTTTGAGAAAAACCATAAATTTCTTGAAGTCCGACATTTTTGATTTTTGATTTTTGATTTTTTTTTCCTAAAAAAACTGATTTTTTCTCGACATAACCCCGTGAAAACGGGAGTGGGCCGAATTTGCGTTGTATTTTTTTTTTCCAATAAATTAAGAAAAAAACTCGATTTTTAACTTTTTTTATTTTAAAAACTCAGTCTATTATACTAAAATTATTTTAAATCTATAACTTTACTATATTTCATACTTAATTTATAATCTTAGCTTATGATTTATGATTAAAATTTGAACCCGAATCCTTTCGAGTTGCTGAAATTTTTCTACTTTTTTATACCCCACTAAAGACATTTCTCAGAATTTTTTCAAATTTTTCTACCCAATCAAATAAAAATTATGAATTTTTCAAAATAATCGCTCTTTTTTTTTCAAAAAACTAATTTTTTCAAAAATTGATTTATCGGGACGTTTTTTTTTCAAAATTTTTGTCTTTAAATGTACTTTTCAGAAAAAAATTAAAAACAAATTTCTCATGTGAGGTTCTATGAAATTTTCCATTGTTTTGAGAAAAACCATAAATTTCTCGCAGTCCGACATTTTTGATTTTTGATTTTTTTTTCCTAAAAAACTGATTTTTTCTGGACATAAAACCGTGAAAACGGGAGTGGGCCGAATTTGCGTTGTATTTTTTTTCAATAAATTAAAACAAAATCTCGTTTTTTAACGTTTTTAATTTTAAAAACTCAGTCTATTACACTAAAATTATTTTAAATCTACAATTTTACAATATTTCATACTTAATTTATAATCTTAGCTTATGATTTATGATCAAAATTTGAACCCGGATCCTTTCGAGTTTGCTGAAATTTTTATACTTTTTTCTACCCCACTAAAGACGTTTCGTAGAATTTTTTCAAATTTTTTTAACCAATCAAAAAAAAATATATGAATTTTTCATTCGGGACGTTTTTTTTTCAAAATTTTTGCGTTTAAATGTACTTTTCAGAAAAAAATTAAAAACAAATTTCTCATGCGAGGTTCTATGAGATTTTCTATTGTTTTGAGAAAAACCATAAATTTCTCGAGGTCCGACATTTTTGATTTTTGATTTTCTTTTTTTCTAAAAAAAACTGATTTTTTCTGGACATAACCCCGTGAAAACGGGAGTGGACCGAATTTGCGTTGTATTTTTTTTTTTTCAATAAATTAAAACAAAAACTCGGTTTTTAACTTTTTTTATTTTAAAAACTCAGTCTATTACACTTCAATTATTTTAAATCTACAATTTTACAATATTTCATACTTAATTTATAATCTTAGCGTATGATTTATGATCAAAATTTGAACCCGAATTCTTTCGAGTTTGCTGAAATTTTTATACTTTTTTCTGCCCCACTAAAGATGTTTTTGAGATTTTTTTCAAATTTTTTTACCCAATCAAAAAAAATTACGAATTTTTCAAAAAAATCGCCCTTTTTTTTCAAAAAACTATAATTTTTTCAAAAATTGAGTTATCGGGACGTTTTTTTTTTCAAAATTTTTGTCTTTAAATGTACTTTTCAGAAAAAAATTAAAAACAAATTTGTCATGTGAGGTTCCATGAGATTTTCCATTGTTTTGAGAAAAACCGTAAATTTCTCGGGGTCCGACATTTTTGAATTTTGATTTTTTTGTCCTAAAAAAAAAACTGATTTTTTTCTGGACATAGCCCCGTGAAAACGGGAGTGGACCGAATTTGCGTTGTATTTTTTTTTTTTCAATAAATTAAAACAAAAACTCGGTTTTTAACTTTTTTTATTTTAAAAACTCAGTCTACTTATTACACCAAAATTATTTTAAATCTACAATTTTACAATATTTCATACTTAATTTATAATCTTAGCTTATGATTTATGATCAAAATTTGATGAACCCGAATCCTTTCGAGTTTGCTGAAATTTTTATACTTTTTTCTACCCCACTAAAGACGTTTCTCAGAATTTTTTCAAATTTTTTTAACCAATTAAAAGAAATTATGAATTTTTCAAAAAATCGCCCTTTTTTTCAAAAAACTATAATTTTTTCAAAAATTGAGTTATCGGGACGTTTTTTTTTTTAATTTTTGTCTTTAAATGTACTTTTCAGAAAAAAATTAAAAACAAATTTCTCATATGAGGTTCTATGAGATTTTCCATTATTTTGAGAAAAACCGTAAATTTCTCGAAGTCCGACATTTTTGATTTTTGATTTTTTTTCCTAAAAAACTGATTTTTTCTGGACATAACCCCGTGAAAACGGGAGTGGGCCGAATTTGCGTTGTATTTATTTTTTATACTTTTTTCTACCCCACTAAAGACGTTTCTCAGAATTTTTTCAAATTTTTTTACCCAATCAAAAAAAAATTATGAATTTAAAAAATATATAATTTTTTCAAAAATTGAGTTATCGGGACGTTTTTTTTCAAAATTTTTGTCTTTAAATGTACTTTTCAGAAAAAAAAATGAAAAAAAATTATGTGAGGTTCTATGAGATTTTTCAATTTTTTTAGAAAAACCGTCAATTTCTCCAAGTCACGTTTTTGATTTTTTTTTTTTTTAATTAAAAAAACTGACTTTTTCTAAACATAACCCCGTGAAAACGGGAGTGGGCCGAATTTGCGTTGTATTTTTTTTTCAATAAATTAAAAAAAATAACTCGATCTTTGACTTTTTTAATTTTAAAAACTCTGTCTATACACTAAAATTATTTTAAATCTATAATTTTACAATATTTCATACTTAATTTATAATCTTATGATTTATGACCAAATTCCACGAGACGAATATAGACAGGACTTAAACTTTGACTTTCTTTTTTATATAATCCATACAGTTTTCATTGAATAACACAATGACTTAAGTAATTGTTTCACATGTAGCGAAATAAAAATTTTGCAATTAGGTCCGCCCCCTGACTCACGACGAATAGAAAAAAAATCATCGCAATTGAGATAGGGTGGGTGGGCGTTGCTTATATTTTGCCCCTGTTTTTCTTAAAATATGCAGTCCTCTTTTCACAAAACGAATCTTAATAAAACACATTTAAAATGCTAAATTTTTGTAAGGAAATATGGATTTTGCAATTAAGCTCCGCCCCCCTTGACAAACAACGAACAAAGAAAAAGTGCCACAATTGAGATAGGGTGGGCGGGTGGGGCTTACGTTTTGCCTTTTTTTTTCTTCTTATTTATACTATTTTTTCTCCATGACAAGAAACTGAAAACATATGGGACATTCCATGCCAAATCGACCACTTTTGAACCCGACCTCTTTCGAGTTTGCTGAATTTTTTATACTTTTTTCTGCCACACTAGAGACGTTTCTCAGAATTTTTTCAAATTTTTTTACCCAACCAAAAAAAAATAAGGATTTTAAAAAAGTCGCTCTTTATTTTTCAAAAATTGAGTTATCGGGACTTTTTTTTCTCAATTTTTGTCTTTAAATGTATTTTTGAGAAAAAAAATTGAAAAAAACAATATGTGAGCTTCTATGAGATTTTCAATGTTTTGAGAAAAACCGTCAATTTGTCGATGTCCGACATTTTTGTTTTTTTTTTTTATTAAAAAAAAAAGATTTTTTTCTGGAGATAACCCCGTGAAAACTATTAATTTATAATCTTAGCTTATGATTTATGATTAAAATTAGGTAGGACTTAATATTTGGTTTTCTTTTTTATATAATCCATATAGTTTTCTTTGAACAACACAATGACTTAAGTACGTGTTTCACATAAGGATTTTGCAATTAAGGTCCGCCCCCTGACGCACGACAAACGGAAAAAAAAAATCATCACAACTGAGGCAGGGTGGGTGGGCGGGGCTTATATTTTGGCTTTGTTTTTCTTAAAATACGCAGTCCTCTTTTCACAAGAAGAATCCGTGATCAAAAAATTCGTTCATACTTTTTAAAATGAATCGCCTGTCTTTATAGTGCAGATATCGACGTTTATCAGTAAACAAAAAACCTCTTTTTATTATCTTCTTTACTTACTGATACTTCTGCATATGATTTGAAAGTGTTGCGGCGTACAGGCGAGGTATGTAAATGGTTATTGTAAATTTAATTGTAAACCAAAAATTATTTACATGTAGGTGCTATGAGCCGATCGAAAATAGTCTTAAAAGTGATGGCTTGTTCTCTGTGTCTTGAAATAATGACCAGAAGAACGATGTTGTGCGAGGACGGCCATACAATATGTGCGAAATGTGGTAAAGATATAGTTTATTGCCCTGTATGCTGCAAAAAAATGACCTACCACAGAAACATGTTGTTGGAAAAAATGGTTAATCTGTATGTACAATATCCCTCGGCCTTCATAGCTGCTTTTGAAGACTGCGACGTTACTGCTCCGGAACGGGGTAACAAAAAAGTGAAATTACTGTAACTATTGTGTGTATTTTATGGTGTTTATTTGTGGTATGTAACGCATTTTATTTATAAATGCATATTTATTTAATAAAACAAGTTGCATTTTTCTGTTTATTTATTATTTAAACACTGAAAAACAAAAAATCCAGCACTTTTAAAAACGATTTTATTTAGAATCAAAATTACAAAGATGTGTCGACTTGATCTTCTACTTTCACACGTAACAATAAATAATATAAAAATTTTGTACTCGTACAACGATCTTTAAGCGGCCTACTCTATGGCAAGTTGGATTGGTATTCAAAATGAAGAGATTTAAATCGCGACTTTATCGCTTTTTAGTTTAAGCTACGCAAACTGATCCTTTGATAAGTTCGTCCACGGGTGCCTTAAGAATCCTATAATTCGTCTGAGAAGAATCCAACTCTCTGTACAAAAACACTGGCAATTTATCGGAAAGAATCCACAAATTTCTTTCCGCGTCGAGCTAAAACTACTGTGTTAGATTTGTGTGTTGTGTGACAACAGCCTCACCTTAATGTCGTTGGTGAACACCAAAGCCTCTTTATCTTGAACCACCAGACCCAAATTCTGCGCACTGAGCGGTTTTTTGGGGTTCCAACAAGCAACACCATCTTTGTTGATCTGCGTTAAGAACAACACATTGGCTTTTTCGTCGAAGTCTGACGCCGAAGCTTGAGTTAAGTCGCCACGATTACCCTCGATCTATAAATTATCGATTATTATTATTATTATTATTATTATAGGAAGGTTTAGAAATACTTTGAACAAGTAGTAGTTGTGTGGATCTGTAGCAATAGTTTTGTTTTTCAAAACGTTAGTGGACACCGAAAACTCCCTCGTGCTCGCCAAGGGGTGGAAATACAAAGTCCTGTCCCCATTCTCCAACCTCGGCCCCAAAGCCAACCCGAACACGCCATCCGTCCACTGGAAGTTAACCCCTCCGACATTAAAATCGCCCTTCAGCGGATCAAAATGGAAGTAGTTGTGTTTAACCCTCCACGAGTCGTTCTCCTTCCAGGAATACACCACCATGCCATAAGCCCCCAAGTCGGGGATGTACGCGAACGCCTCGTCGCACTTGCTCGGGTCAACATCCACCACCTAGAACTCGCAAACTTGTACCTCGAGCAAAAACGCAACGAGTTCTTACAATGTTGGCAAAGAAAGAATCGTCCTTGTAGTCGTGTTCTTTCAAGTTGTAGCGTCTCAGGAGTTTGTCGGTTTTTAAATCGAAAACGACGATGGCTTGGGGCGTCACTTGTTTGCCCTCCCCGAAGATGTCGGCAAGGCCTGTGTCCATCACCCAGAGGCGGTCACAGGGGTCGACTTTGATGCGGAAGGTCGACACGATTTGGTTGTCTTTGGGTTTATCGTCGCCCGTGGGGAGGAGGTTGGCGTCCCAGTCGGGGTACGGGAGGAGGGAGGGGGTTTTGTTGGCGGCGGCGGTCAGGGGGATGTAGTTGAGGGAGGCGGCGACGCCGGCTTTCCATCTGCAAGTTGATCGCAAGAATATTTACGATTTTTTTTTAAATAGTAGCTCGGATTGTACATGACATTGCTAAGTAATGGTGAATAACGTAGAAAGTATTGGCGTTAATCTTAATCTTCAATGTGCAAGTCACGGCTGCGGGAAACATGCAATATTTATGTGGTAAACAAACGTTTTGCATAAACGTTTTTTTCACCTTTTATGCAACCATGTTAAAAATATATTCATCGTGATCTGAATGTAATTGCATATTGATCAAACTGCCAAGAACAATCGGTGTTTACACGACACACTATTTACTTTACGTTTTATTCACTATTTGTTTAATTTTTAATTAGTCACGCGCTGTCACTCTTCAACTAATCGATTATATAAACCGTAAAACTCCACCAATTGGGTTAAGGTGGACGAGTGTAAAAAATGTCAGAGCGACTCGAACGCATACAAAATCGAAGAATTTACATCTTTTAATTAGGCCAAACGTTACGTAACTTACAAATAAACAAACAAAAAATTTACCTGGGAACCGTAACGAACAATTTATCCTTCCACCTTTCGAGTCCCAGCGGCAAATTATTTTCCGGAATGTAATGACCGGATTTTATTGCACTGGTTTTGGCTTCGTCGCTGGGCCAGGCGAAGGAGAGCTCTTTCCAGGCGAAAACCTCCTCGAGGGCGGCTCGGCACGACCCGACTGCCACAAACAGCAACAAGAGCTTCCACATGTCTAAAACTATACGAGAATGGCACGGCTAGACGCTCACTGAATTGGTCACTCACTGACAGAGAAGTAACTTTAATAGTGAAAAGATCGGTTCTCCCACTTTTTGTTCAATGAACAGATCGGTATTGAAAATATTACGACCCTGAACTCCGCTGATCTGTGTGAAAACCAAATTATCGTGTTCACGTAATGGACAGCAATTTGGGTTTTCGTTTACTAATTTTTCTGAATGTCATTTTGTTATTAACTGTAATTGACGTAATGTAACGACCGATTTTATTGTTAATTTTCAATGTCTGCCTATTTTTAAACACGTAAAAAACGAAAAGTGTAATTTAATTTGTCTGTTAGTTGTTTAGGAAACAAATTCTTGTTTTCTAAATTTCAGCTGAAAAAACCTGTCTGGAATATTAATTAATCCTCGACCGCCTACCAAAATCGGACAAATTAATTCATTCACTATCTCTGCATCGTTTAATCGTGAAAAAATAATCAACAATTCGTGTGTTCCTATTATTTGTGCAGCGCTTTTATTTCAAAGTCAATGTTGAACTTGAAAAGGTTCGTTCCTTGGCCGTCGTGCACCCGAAGTTTGGACCGCATTTTCCCGTCTGGTAAATAAGACGGAAAATATTTGCCGTTGGGGGAAAAATTCACCATTTTGTAAGACCCCTACAAAACCACAATCACTTTAATTGAAGCTACCAATCGTACCCACTTTTTTCATATCACACAAACTTAAGTCGAATTGGGCGTCTTCAAATTGTTGTTTAAGCGAAAAAATGTTTGCTTTTTCGACTTTACAAATATCGGTGCTCATTTGAACCCCACTGTTTCTATATTCGTTATGGAAAAACTGAAACACCTGTATAGTCGCCTAAAACGATCATTTAAAAGTGTAAACAACAAATGTTCAACTGGTACCAGCCAGGTGTGATTGGTAGAATCGTGAACGACATCGAAAGACCCGTTCACGGCCGAAAACGTCCTGTTAAATTTCCCAAAATGCAAATATACGTTTTTAATAAATTTGTCGTTGACGTACAACAGCTCCGTTCTTTCAAACACGAATTCGTATTCCTGAAAGTTCACTTTCTTCATTAGCTGAAATTACTTACTGATTTTCGCATACTCGGCTTTCTGAAAAGTGTATCAGTTTTATCAGACATAGCACAGCAAAAGGGATGAAAGATGTGTGTGTCATGTTGATGCCAAATCGTAACACTGTCGGTTTTTGTTAGGAATTCTTATTGAGGATTTGTAATTTCCGTCTGGAAATGACATTTAGCTAATGTTTATCGCCGCATCATTAAAAACCTACTCGTGGATCATAATGAGCGTTTAGCTGAGGATTTATGTTTTATTTTAAATGTGTTCTCTTCGATGTCATTATCAATTAAAAATTTTGTTTAGATGTGCATTCGAAAATTGGAATGCGGTCTGGTTGCACTTTAGCAGTAGGAATTAATTATGTTTTCGTTTCATTTTCGACATCAAGGACGTTCGGTGTTAATAACCTTTCAGACTTGTTTGCAAAATAGAGCCTGAAGAAGAGGACAATCTGCTCGAAACGTTCATAAAGTCGAGAACTTCTATTGATCACTTATTCTAGAAAGTGCAGATTCTCAATCCACAAAAAACTACTAATAAAAAATTAAGTAGCACACTTTTCACATTTTAGAGAGCATAAAGGTCACTAGATCAATTTTTTATGTGGCAATTCTAATTAAAAGTATTCCAGTGTTGTCTTAAAGAACACAGACAATTTCAATTTTGACCATTGTGCTCTTACGACTTTTTTTTATAACCAGTAACTGTACTAGGTTTAATAATGGCCTCGTTACAAAAAAATACTCTACACGCGAGTTATGGTTCAGCTGTTTCGAATACCTTTTTTTTTAGGAAAATGGAATTGTTAGAAATGGTTTTATACATGGGCAATTTACTGGCCACCACTCCCACCAAACCACCAGGAAAAATGTATCCTTCAGTTGTGCTAGCTTTTTTCGTGGTGAGCGTAACAGCGGCCACCATTTTCAAGAAATCTGATTACATGAGTATGATCCACGTCAAATTCGTAATCGCCGTATTAATGGACTCCACTTTGTTCTTTTTCAATTTTATCGTAATAATAATCCCGGCTTTTTGGAAAAGGAAAGAATGGTCCAAACTTGTCAAAATATTAACAATATTGCGCTCACTACAAGCCAAAAAATCATCACCTGTGTATTTCATCCTCATCCAGATAATTTTCTGGGCTATTGCTTTGTACGACACTTACGCATGGACCATGATTATGGAATTCGAATTTCTAAAACAATACGGAGTAGAAATCCTACAATCGTTTCTTTTGTTCCACCACCAGTGCTTACTTCACGTCGCTATTAACATAGTCCTTGAAGGCTACAAAGACGTTATCACCAAATTTTACACCATCGAACTATTAAATAAAGAAAGCGCGAAAATAATTAAACACAAATTGGGTTTGCTGCAAGTGTGTATTCGACTCTTCAGTGAAGTGTTCGGCTGGCCTTTTCTTTTAATTATCGTGTACACGAGCTTGCAGATGTTAAATTATTTCGACGATAGTTTTGAAAACGGATTCTTGTACGACGAAAACGAATACGACGAAGTAATTATTTCTAACGTGTGTTTTCTCATAATTACAGTCGTAAGTTTGTACTTTTGTATCATTCGAAATGATAATTTTGTTCTAGGGTTACACGGTTTTTTTGATATGGTTGTGGGACTCGGTTTTAGCAGAAGTCGACAAGATCCAACACTTTTGCAGAAACGTTACTGAGGAGCTCCAAACGAACTATTTTGTTATTATCAGCAAGGATATTGTCAATAATTGCCCGAAATTATCAGTGGCTGATTTTGTTTACGTGGATAGAGCGCTTATTTTTAATATGTTTAGCGTCACTTTTACTTTTTTGATAGTCATGATTCAGTTTAAAGAGCGTGCTAATTTAAGTAGTTATGAATATTCCAACCAATAATGTTGCATTTTTTTATTTAAATTAGTTAGATAGTTTAAGTTCAGAATCTTCGTGATGATGTTAAGTTTGTAGTTGCGTTTTTCACGTTTCAACATTATTTGTGGGTTAAAAAACGCAATAAAAATATTCTCCACGTTTGAATTGACACAAATATTATTTTATTTAAATTACTGCAGAGTTCATTGCAGTCATTACGTAAACGTGAAAACTAACAGTGCGTACATGTTGTTCTTTGTTAACAGAACAAGAGTATGAATAGATTTTCAAAATTACGTGAGTAATTAGAGCGAGTTAATTATGTCCATAGGGAAATCATTTTCGGGATCAGATAAAACCGATACAATTTAATGATTGATTCTAACGACTCTCCGAATTAATTAGTGTGTGGACTTTTTCACTTCGGGGTAGGCAAGGTTAATAAACCACGGTCAGAACATTCACTGCAAATTTTACTTAAAGTTGGACTTTACAAAGAACAGTTTCAACAACGATGTACTTTCCAAACAAAACACGACAGGGTATACAACATAAACTTGTAAAATTCGGTCGCCTACATTATAAGTTTTTGTTCAAAATATATTGCACTTTTTCTAAATCTAAAAGGCTTCGTCCGAAAATAGTAAATATTATTGTTCCGAATGTAGATCACAACGTATTACTTGGACGAATTTGTCAAATTCATATCGTAGTTCTAAACTACCGAAACAAACTATTAAAAATGTAGAAAATCTAACTAATTTTCTAACTAAATTGGCAACTCCGTCTGAGACTAACTAAAGTTAAAGAGTTGATCCAATTTTTTAAGAAACTAATGTGATTTTTTCTTTTACAATTTTCTAACCGAATTAATTTAATGATACATAAGTCTACGCTTCTAAGGAATTTGGCACATTTTCCTGAACGTCTGGATTAGAACAACTTGAGTTTCCATATCGAGATGGGTCTTTGAAAAATCGTGACCTGCCCGTGCTCTTTCCAACCAATGATGTAGACATACAGAGGAACGTAGTCTAGGATTCGGTCGAAATCTGTTTCGTCGGACATGGTTTTTTCCACTCGGATTCGTTCCGCTCTACCAGCGCTGTGTGCTCTTCTTTTGGAATCTTTTGGACGTACATTATCTAAGGCTGGAAAGTTGGAAGGATGATTACGCAGCGAACTCCTATAAAGAACTTTGGTATTTCTATTAATAACTCCGTTGTACTCTTGCAGTTCGAGAAGATCTTCCTCCGAGCTTTGAACCCCCAAAGAACTTTAATGCGTCAGGAGTTTAGCAACGTGTTTAATATCAGGACCCATGTAATTCGGGTTGCAAAACCCAAACGGACCATCCTTCTCCCTATTTTTCTGGTTTTCGTCGTGGTTGGTCTTGACACTATAATTGCTCGCAGAGGATAGCCGATTCATGGTTTCGATGCTAGCGTAATCCGACGTCGAAGACACGTTTTCTTGTTCGTTCTGCAGCTTCATCATGTGTTGGTAGAGAGGATTATCGGCGTAGCCCAAATGAGAGTTGTAACTTTCGCCTCGTTTCGGAGGGTTGTTGAAGCTCAAACTTGCCCTTTTACCAACTTGAATAGTGTCATTAGGGTAACTATCATTCATAATTTCGTTTTCGTCATCCGTATCCAAATAAACTAATTTCGTGGCTTCGACTGGTGTCAAAGCCGGAGTTGGTAACGTCAAAGCAGAAAAATTAGGTACTAAGATGAGCTCTCGTGTGATTTTTTTCGTCAAGTCGTTCCTCCGCCTCTCGACTTCCTTCTGCTCGTCGTTATCAATTTGGTAGTTCTTTTTTATCACGTATGCTGACTTGGACTTCACCATGGTGCTTCTTGGAGTGATATCAGAGTCGGTTTCTTCAAAGTTTGGCGGAGTGGCGTGCTGCTTTATCAAACTCTCCGTGCTATCAGTGGTACATCCAGCTATTCAACCTAGAAATCTGCGATATCTTCGTTATTTCTTACAGAAACCCTTTCATCGATTTGTCTTTGCTTGCAATCTGATGCACCTCACTACCATCAGTATAATTAGCTTGAGACGGCTACAAAATCTGCCACTTTTTGTTCAA